AATTTCCCATCCAGTCAAGCTAACGATCCTGCTATCTTGACAAGGGACAAGCAGGGGGCTATGCTGCAGGTGGGAGCAGACACTGATGCCTGACTTGCACTAGATTATTTAAATTAAATAATATATACACACAGAAGAAAATGCATATGTAAGAACAATGTGACAAACACCAGTGGATTCTACTGCCTAGTTTAAGAAACAATCAGCTGCTCTTTCAAATTCTGGATGAAGGCGAATTTCTAACTCCAGAGAGAGAGTTTAAACTTGTCTAGCTCTCTCTGAGTGCCTGCACTTGCCTCCCCGGGTCACCAGGCCCCCATCACCTCTTCTGCCCTCTGTACCCTGGCCTCCAGGGCTATTTTGGGTGTGTACCAGTCAGGGTTAATCTCCTTAAGCAGTGAGTCGTGCTGCCGGGTACACTCCTGATTGGCCTAGTCCTCTGCAAAGGGCATTTTGAGGGTTGGTGCACTGGCCTCAGGCTTTCCCAGAACTGACACTGGTGATCCCATCCCTGCAGAATCACCAGGGGCACCAAGTAGAACCAGGCCTGGTGGGTGAAGGCTGAGCAAGTGGCAGAGAAGGTTCAGAACCAGAGATGAGGTGCTTGGGTTTGCTTCTCAAGTTGACCTCTAGTGAGAACCTGAAAGAACCTCCTCCACCTCCAGATCTATTACCTCTGCCCCTCCCCTGGCAGCATAAGGTGCTAATCCTCAGTCCTCAGGAGGACAGGGGAGGCAGGCTGGAGGTTTTCTTTCCCACTCAAGAAGGGAACAGAACACATAAGTTGACCTATTGGGATCTGGTTCCTGACACCTGAGCCAAGGACAGGCATTTCACTCAGCGGCTGGCCTGCCCAGATCTCTGTCCGCTTATGACTCACATGGCCTGTCTACCACTCTTGATTTCAACTTAAAATTTTTTATTATGGCAAATTCTAAACAACTATACAAAAGTAGAGAGAATAGTATAATGAGCACCCACGCGAACCCAACACCCAACTTCAACTATCATCAACCCATGATCAGTCTTGTTTCACTTATATTCCCACCCCAATCATTTTAAAGCATATTCCCTAATCCAACCAGTTTTCCTATAAATATATTCATATTTGTATCTAAAAGATAATAATTCTTGTGAAAGTATACCCTAAAGCCAGCATGGTGGTGCTTACCTGTAATCCTTGATACTTTGAAGGTGCAGGGAGGAGGATTAGCATTCAAGGCCAGCCTAGGCAAAGTTAGACCTGGGCTGGAGGTATGGCTCAAGCAGTAGAGCGCCTGCCTACCCAACATGTAGTCCTGAGTTTAAACTCCAGTACTACCAAAAAAAAAAAAATAGTGAGACCCTATCTTGAAAACAAATCCCCAGTACTGAAAAAACCAAAAAGTATACCCTTCTTGAAAACAAATCCCCAGTACTGAAAAAACCAAAAAGTATACTCACAGTACCATTATCACACTAAAGGGAATTAACAAAGATTCCTTAATACTACTACCCAATGTCTTTCCCTAATGCACACTTGGTTTTAATAGTTAAGGTCCTCCTCATGGGAGAGGGGAGATCAGCCTTCCACCAGACTATGTCATCACTGTGTTCTTGTGACCACACACACATGTGCAGTCGCTGATCTGTAGCATGTCTTTGGTGGTTCCATATGTACATGTTTTATGATCTTAACTAGATTATAAATTCTTCGGAGCAAGGATATACATAATTGTCCCTTTTTGATCCTAGTATGGCAGACAAGAAACACAGGTTTCAAAGTCAGGCAGGCCACTTACTAGCTGTGTGACTTTGGGATAGTTAATGTCTCTGAGACTTACTTTCCTGATCTGTATACTGAGGACAAAAGTATTTACCTCCTAAGACTTAAATAAAAGAGAAGGCAAATGTGCTGGAGATACAGAAGATTCTCGGTAACTGTCTACCTTGCTACTCTTCTGCAGGTCCAGTAAGATTGGCTCATATTCTCTGGTGTGGCCACCTCCTCGGTCCTCACAGGGCACTAGAGCTCCTGCAGTGAGGGCTGCAGCCAGGTCAGCATCCTGGATCCACACCCAGGCTGTGTGGCTAAGGAGTGGGTAGTCCCCACCATGGGCACTCTGGCTTTGCTTGTTTGCTCTGGCCACTGACTGAAGAACAGGTGTGGTCTGCACAGCCCTCGGGGAACTGGGTGGTAGGGGGGGATTGGTTGGGCAGGAGCAGAGATTTGCTTTCGGCTCACTTCATCAATTTCTAGATTCCTTGGCCAGAGTAACTAATTCCATAGCTGCCACTGATTGAATATTTATTATATGCCAAGCTCTATGCCAAGTGCTTCCTGTTACTAGCCCTCTTAGTTTCCACAACAGTCTGGAGAGGCAGGTACTATTATCCTCAAGATTCAGGTCACTTGTGAGTGATATAGTTACATCGACAGTAAGAGGCACTGGTATTCACACCAGGTATTTCTGATGGTTAAATGCAAGTCCTTGACCCCACACTCATTATTTTGCTAATGATGCTAAAGAGACCACTTTTTAGAGTTCATTCCCATTCCCCCAGATTTACAGAGATGATTTCTATTCTTTTGGTGGGGGGGCAAATACATTGGGGTTTGAACTCAGGGTCTCATGCTTGCTAGGCAGGCACTCTACCACTTGAGCCACTCTGTCAGCCCTTTTTTATGTTGGGTAGTTTTGAGGTAGGGTCTCACAAACTATTTTTGAGGGCTGGCTTCAAATTTCGATCTTCCTGATCTCTGCCTCCTGAGTAGCTAGGATTACAGGCATGAGCCACCAGGGTCCGGCCAGGATGACTTCTGCTCAGTGTTCAATGTTCATCCTGAAATCCAGCTGCCATTAAGCTGATGTATGCCCTTGGATCGAATGAGGAAGAATAAGTGGATCTGAACAGCCTACCTCTACAAGGCAAACAATGCTGAAGGCGGCTCCTTACACATACACATACACACACACGCCACCCTCTATTCCCTAACTTGGGATCTGTCTTCAGAAACAAGTGTGCACCTAGCATGGGGGAGGGAGGACGGGCAGGCAAAGAGGAGAGGCAGGCCACAGCATTAACTGCTGAGCATAAAAGCTGGAGATAAAAGTTTCAGAAGCACAAGACTAACTTGGCCCCTTTATGAGCTAAGCATCTTGCTTTGTGATTAACAGTTTTCTATTCAGGGCTGGAGATGTAGCTCAGTGGTGGAATGCTTGCCTAGCATGTAAGAGGCCCTGGGTTTGGTTCCCAGTACTGCAAAAAAAAAAAGTGTTCTGCTTGACATCAGCCTCCAGAAGCCATAAGTCAGACATAAGGCAACCATGAGCCCAGAGTCCAGTGACTGGGAGTGACAGAAGAGCAAAGCCAAACACAAGATTGAATTCTTGGGGTCCAAGGTGTTGGGGGGTGCGGTGAGTTGAAGATGTGCTAAAGCCTTTGGTTTCATTTCTTTCTGTGTGTTTTCTGATAGCTGACCTGAGGTGCCAGACCCCCAACAGTAAGGCCTGGCATTTTTTCCCATAAATGTTTTACAATTGATTGCTCATTATGAGAGCTGCATCAGGGCGGCCACCTTGTCTGCAGGATAGTAATTCCCAAGCACTCTGGCTTCCCACTTTCCATACCTCTTGACAAAGCTTTAAACATGGGCCTACGGGGGCTGCAGGGACAGAGGAAGAGTTCCGGCTCCTCTACTCCTTTGCCTGAACCTCCCTCTCCTCTCTACATTCCCATCCCTACTCCCACAGACTCACAGCCATGTCCCCTGGCATGCTCTGACCAGCAGTCAACACGATTTCATATCCAGCGTGTCATTCCACAGAAGTTGCATTTGATTATGTTCCTGTTCTCAATTCTTCTGTGTCATTTGAATCTGTATCTCAATTCCCATAGAAGTAAAACAAAGGACAAGAATTGAGGCTGGACTTTTTCTTGCAAGAATTTACAAGTAATGGACAATGTACGGGAGACACAGCTGAGTAGAAGAGAATGGTACAAAGACTTAGAACAACTTTCCCACTGAACACTCCTCTTGTAGACAAAGGGATACCACAAAATTATACTAAATCAGAGGCCAGGCTAGTTTGTCCATATGAAAGTAATTGTGAAGAAAAATAATTCCTTCATGCTCAACTAAGAAAGCAGAAAGCAAGTTGTGCTTCAGCTCATCTTAGTTGTGGGCAGATGCTTCCAGATACATACTGCTTTTCCCTCCTCTGTGTTCTCCTGCTGGAGTATTTCCATCCCCAGCAAAGTGGACTTGCTAGTTTGTAAAGGGTTTATTGCCAAAAGAAGTGGGGGGAATACTCCCTCAAATAAAAAAGGAAAGAAGGAAAGGAAAGAAAGGAAGGAAAAGAGAGAGAGAGAGACAGAGACAAAGGGAAGGAGAGGAGAGGAGGACAGAAGAGGAGAGGAGAGGAGAGAAAAGAAGACAGGAAGAAAACCTGGGAATAAAATGGAAACTATCAGGTTAAGACACATCCTAGCCCACAGACCCCTGGCACTTCCCCCATTGCTTTGGGAAGCTCATTTCCCCTCTCCAGGCTTCTTCAAACAGTCCATGTGCTATGGGAAGTCCATAACCAGGGGGAAATGAATCTTCCTCCCATAAGGAGGGTGTAGCCTTCTCTTCTAGGGTAGCTGGCAGTCAGGAGACTACAAGCATCCTTCTATTCTTTTGCCCCTCCTCACTATAAGATTGGATGGATGCAAAAGAAAATAATAGATGTTAAGGGACCAGGATGTAGTTAACTTGACAATGAATGCTTCAAGGACTACCCACCCCCCTGCCCCCAGCTCCCATTCCCTACCTCCTTGACTTTGTTGTGTTCCTCCAACTTATCCAACTTCTACCTCTCCAACAGAAATTAGGGGCAAGGGACTCACAGTGCTTGTTCAGCTCTGAAGCACTCAATCCTTTGCCAACAAGAACTGTTCTAAGGAACAGTTCTAGACATGGAGTCAGGGTCCCAAACCTCATCCCTCCTCTTTCCCTCCAGGGTATTGTTACTCACATCCACGGACATCTCCCTCTGAATGAGTTTCTTGGTCTCCTTTTCGCAGAAGTTGAGCATGGCTTCCCGGTTGTACATGCCTGTGGACTGTTTGTCTGTCTGGTTCCTCTGCCGCAGCCCCACAGGGATGCTCCCATCTGGGTCCACTACATCCAGCTCCTTCTCCAGCTCCTCCATCTCCTCAGGGGACAGAGTGGACAGCAGGCTGTCAATGTCAGGGTCTTCACTCACCTGCCGGCGATACTTGGCTACCTTGGACATCTTGGCAAAGTGGGCTTTGGTTTTGCCGGGGCTATGGGAGTGTTGGTGGCAGGGAAGGGAGAGGGGAAGCTGGTCTGGATGGAGCCTAGTTAGCTTGGGTGCAGACCCCAAGCTGGTTAAGGACTGCAGCTCCTTGGCCCTGCCGTGCCACAGGTGCTCAGTGGACGTAGCAGCAGCCTCCCTGCAGCCAGAGGCTAGTGGACCCTGTTTGGTCTAACTAGGGGCCAATAAGACCCAACAGCTGCCCAGCCCAGAGAGGAGAAGCCAATCCCCAAGCTGGGGGCGGGCCTGCCTCGCTGTCAGAGCTGTTTGAAACTTGAGGACATTCCAGGGAATCTTGGAGCGCTGCGTGACCAAATTTAGTACAGAGCAGTTTAGCCTTTTAAAGACAAGGGGACCACGCAATGAGAAAAAGATACAAAAATGCAGAAGCAGCCCACAGCCACAGAGACCCAGAAAAGCAGAGATAGGGCCCTGGGGGGTTGTGAATGGGCCAGCTAGAGACAAGCCCTGCTTGAGCATGTACTTTACTTTTCTATCATGGGTGGATGTCGCTGTGGCCAGTGGGTTGCTCACTGACTTCTATTGTATTTGGTAATGTGCTGGGGGACTCCCAGGGGTTTACAGCCCCAGGAAAGACACTCAGTTCAAGATGAGGGCTGTATCACCTAACCACCGCCTACCTGTTCTCTTCTGCCAAGGAGAACCTGAATGGTAAGCATCAGAGTGTCTGATCCTCCTTGGATACAGAGAGGGGGTGAGAGAGAGAGAGAGAGAGAGAAAGGGAGAGAGAGAGAGACAGAGAGGGAGAGAGAGAGAGAGAGAGAGAGAGAGAGGGAGAGAGGAGAGAGAGAGAGAGGGAGAGGGAGAGAGAGAGAGAGAGAGAGAATATGAATCCTTCTCTCTGTGTACCCAAACTCAAAAGTGGAAGGCTGTTTGAGGAAGAGGTGGTATCTGCAAAAGTCTTAAAGGGCTGTCAGTTTCCAAAGCCCCAAGGCTCTTGGGAAGAGCGTTCAAACTTCCCTTAGTTCCCATCTGCTTCCTCTTCTGCTGGGCATCTGTAGACAGACCTCCTTTGGGAGCATTGAGGCGGAGCCAGTAGGCGCCACCCACATATAAATCCAGAGCACGATTTAGCATGTCTTTAGGGAAATACAATTCCGGGCCATTGGGAGAGATACTATTGCAACAGGTCTGGCGTGTTTCATAGAAGGGCTTTCCACTGCTCATCCATCAAGCTGCCCTGTGCAAGTCACAGAGACATTCAATCTCCTGTCCCCCTCCCCCTGCCACAAAATCCTTTCTAGAAGCCCTGGTGTAACCCATCAGGGTAGGTAGATGCTTCGATCTTTCCTGGCATCTCTCCATCCTAAGCCGGAGAGAGACAGTCACTTGATCAGTATTTGCTGAGTCCAGGGATTGTCTGGGACTAAAACTTTGCTATGGCATTTAATGCCCACTAGTCTGGCTTTAGTTATGGCTGGGGGAGGGGGGTAGGGATGGTGCTGACTGGTGGGACTAGAGGACAGAAGAGTGACAGGCAGACCAGAGAGGAAGAATGAACAGGGGCTTAGAGAATCTGGACTATTGTGTTTATAAGAGTCAGTAGTCATGCCATGCACAATGGCTCATTACCTGTAATTATAGCTACTTGGGAGGGAGAGGAGGATTGTGACTTGAGGCCAGCCCCAGAGAAAAGTTTTTGAGACCACCATCTCAGCCAATCACTGGGCATGGTGGTGCACACTTGTCATCCTAGCTATCTGGAGAAGCACAAATAGATCACTATCCAGGACACCTGGGTGTAACTTGAGAACTTATCTCAGAAATAACCAACACAAACAATGCAAATGGCTGGTGAAGCTCAAGTGGTACAGTGCCTGCCTAGCAAGTGGGAGGCCCTGAGTTCAAGTCCCAAAACCCACAAAAAAATTATCCAAATTAAAAAAAAAAGTTGGTTGTCATATGTCAGTCAATAAGCATATACTTATTGAGTGCCTAGTATGTGTCAGGGATTGCACTGAGAGCAGGGTTGTAACTACAGATACAAATCAGTACGATCCTTGCCATTTTGGCGTTTACAGTCTATCAGTGAAGACAGTTGTTATGGTTTATGTGTTGAATGCTTAGTTCTCACCTAGTGGTGCTATTTTGGGAGCTAGGGCTTAGCTGGAGGAAGTGGTCACTAGGGGAGTGTCTTTGAAGTTTATACCTGGTCCCTGGTCCCTTCCTCTCTCTCTGCTTCCTGTCCACCATGAGATGAGTACCCTATACCACATCCTCCCGCCATCACGATGTTCTGCCTTACCACAGACCCAGAATTACTGAGCCAAGGACCGTGGTCTGAAACTTCTAAAACTGTGAGCCAAAAAAAAAAAAATTCCTCCCTTTCAATTGGTTACGTCAGGTATTTTGCCCCAGTGATACAAAAGCTGACTAATGGAATTCTTAATTAAAAAAATAACTTCAGGGCACTTGCCTAGAAAGCACAAGGCCCTGAGTTCAAACCCTAGTACTGCCAAAAAAAAAAAAAAAGAAAGACATTTATTACAAATCTAATTTTAAAATTATCTATTAAGTTATTAAAAGCCTTCAAAATGCCTCAAAAGAGAAGTGCAGGGGCTATGGGAAAATACAGTAAAGAAGGCTGGATAGTAGTATGGTTAAATAGGTGAGAGCTTGCACTCCTGAAGCCAAAAGACCTGTGTTAGGGCCTGGTATTGCCATTTACATGTGACCCTGTGCAAGGTCTCTCCTCTGAGACTTGCCTTCTCCATCTGTAAAATAAGAACAACAGCAGTACCTACCTTGTAGAACTATTGTGAACATCACAACCAGAAAACATATACAAGAGGGTGAGGCCCTGAGTTCAAACCCCAGTACTGACAAAAAAAAAAAAAGAAAGAAAAAGAAAACATACACCTGAAAACATTTACCTGATACAAAATAAGCACAATATTTATGAGCAGTTATAATCCTTTATACTACCTACTCTGGTCCTTGGTTCTTTTATCTCCAGCTCACTTCTTCCCTCTTCTTTTTCTTTCTTCCCTTTAATAGTAGCCACCCCCAGTGCATACACACACACACACACACACACACACACACCCCTTCCATCTTCCTAACTGGTTCACTCTCATGTTCTCTCTCTCTCTCTCTCTCTCTCTTCCTTTCTCTCTCACTGCCTCTCTCCCTCCCTCTCGCTCTCTCTCTCTCAGTGAGAGACAAGAGTCTCACTAGGTAGCCCAGATTGGCCTTGAACCTGTGGTCTTCCCAAGTGCTGGAATTATAGGTGTGCACCACCACAACCAGCTCTTACCTGGTTCTCGTTCATTCATTCATTTGTTCAAGTGTTTATTCAGATACTACTATGTATCTATAGTACCCTGCCAGACATTATGAGGAGAAGAATACAAAAATAACTACAACACTGTTCTTATCTATAGAATGTGCCATTTAATGGGGTAAAAAAAGTATTATGGTAAGGCAAAGTAAAGCAAAAGAGGTTCAGAGAACAGTTAAGAGCCCAACAGAAGACATTAATGTTGTGGGGGGAAGGAGTCAGGATGGGCATTCAAAGACTGGGCTGGAGTGGGCATTTGGCTAGACATGTTGTTGGCATGGTGCTCCCTGCATCCACCAGCAAGTCCCTTGCTCTTACCAACGTCCCTTTGGGTCAGTCAGTGTTCGTCCTCACTGTCATACAGACGAGGCAGCATTTTCTGGGATCCTGGCTCTGGAGCCACCTTAACAACCTCTAGACCTCCACCAGCTAAGAGCAGTCCTCTTTCCAGAGTCTTCCTAAGACTCTTCTTTCTCAGGCTTTTTGCTAAAAATGTTCGCTGTTCCCTGAAAAGGAGGCAGGGCCTGAATGCAAATAACTCCCCTGGTTTCAGTAGCCTTCTCTTCTGGGCCCAGTGCATACAATGAAAAAAATATATCCACACTTTTCAGACTCAAAGTACAGGACTCATGGACTCTTAGTCAAAGTGCACATAAATCCCTGTAACTTCTCTGACTCTCATCCCACAGTTTCAAATAGCCAGCTCTTCTGATTTGACTCATTTGGAAGCCCTTTGATCCCTAGAAACCCAGGGTCCCCCCCAGGGCTCAGCACAGACTCTGAAAAGTCTTCCCTTGAAAGGCACCACAGCCATGGCTGGAGGGTGTGGGAACCCAGAGCCGCAGAAGTACAGTCTCCTCCAGCCCCTGCAACCAGGGGCTGTCCAAACTCAGAATCTACTTCCACCTGAAACAAATTCACCCTAGGGCACACAGTATGTGGCTTAGTCTATTCCTCAGACAAGAGCATTGTTGTGGCTAGAGGGATGGGGAGAGAGAAAAAAAGAGGCTTCAAGCTCCAGTGAGGATATGTGGTGGGATGGTGAGAGATAGTAAGGATCCAGAACCAACTTAACTAATGCTTACATGGCTCTCAGTGGGGCTGAATGGCCCCAGGAAAGTACATTTTCAGGAATACCGTGTATCAGGTAAGAGTACAAGCTCTGGGGTCAAATGACATGGGCTGAAATCTGAGATGTGTGACCCTGGGTAAGTTATTTAACCTATCTGAGCCTTACGAAATGGAAAATGAGGATATTAAAAATATTTTTCTAGAGAAGTCAGGCACAAGTGGCTCACCCCAGTAACTCTAGCTACTTGGGAGGCTGATATTGGGATGATTGTGGTTAGAGGCCAGCCTGGACAAATAGATCATGAGACCTCACCTCCAAAAGTAACCAGAGCAAAATGGACTGGAGGTGTGTCTCAAGTGATAGTGCACCTGCTTTGTGAGTCCCTGCTTTGTATGCTTGAAGCCCTGAGTTCAAACTCCAGTGCCCCCTCACACACACACAAAACCCACAGTATTTAACAGTATTTACCTAAAGAAAAAAGGGTACCTACCTCAGAGAATTATGGGGTTATTAAGTATGTTAAGTAAGATAATGCATGTAAAGTATAACACCATCAGACACATAGGAAGCACTCAATAGTGCTTGCTATTGAGCTACTGATTCAGACCTAGATCCCAGTCAATAGCTGTTCTGACAAGACTAGCTAAAGCAGGGACCACAGTGTGTGAGACCACCAAAGGGACATTTTCACACTTTTTTTTTAAGATAGGGATTTTCCTACGTTGGCCTCTAATTTGTGATCCTCCTTCCTCAGCTCTGAGTAACTGGGATTACAGGCATGTGCCACCACATCTGGGCACACAGTTTTTCTTCTACTGAGAGATGTGAGGAGTTTCTCTAGAACAAAATGGTAGACTTTATCTCTGGAAGTGAGCCACTGCCCTGGCCTAGAACTCCTGAGATGAGCAGAAATGAGCAGAGAGCTCTGAGACAGACACAGGCCAGACTAGTTTCTTCCTGAAAGGACTGCCAGGGAAGAGAAAAGAGGACAGAACACACAAGAGGTGGCCTCTCCCACTGTCATTGAGGCCAAGCCAAAAACCCATTTCCCACCAAAGTGGCACTGGTCACAGACTGGAATTCCAAACCCACTATGATTTGAGCTTCATTTATTTATGCCAGTTCAAGTTTTTTGGTTGACTTGAACCAGGCAGGACTTGGAGGTTTGGAATGACATATATGACCTGTAACTCCTGATGCATAGAGTGCATTAGGCCTCAGGAGCCTCCAGTTCAATGGAACTCAACCCCTAAGTCAACAGGTACTAAGTGGTGGTGGGGGGGGGAAGATTCTGAAAGTTTCCGTTCCCACTAGTACCTGGGTCACAAGGGGATCCAGCAACAATCCCACGCTAGGCCCAGAACACTAACTTTCAATACAATATGCCCTGTGTATTGAGTCCCCAGTTCCAACTCCCCTCACCTCCATGGTGAGTTTTCTCTCAAGGACCTCCACTGGTTTCCTCTATCATTCCTTCGTGTCACTGACTACTCCCTCAGTGAGGACCGTCAAAGTCTCCCAGAATACTTTAAGGCTCGCTAGAGGGAAGCTTAGCGTATCAAGGACTTTTCTTTTAAGAGATTTCTTCATTCAGCACACTGGGACCAAAAAGGAGTGTCTGGTTTTGAGGGAAAGGTGATACAGGGCAAATTCTAGGTTTTCCCAGCCAAAAATGTCCTGTTGCCTGTTGCAGTTAAAAGACAGCAGAGGGTGAGAAGTCTTAAGAATGCTTGCTGGTTAGTTGGTCTCCCAGAAGAGTAAACTCCTTTAGGGTAGGGGCTTGGAATGAAGCTAGCTGGGTAGCTACAACCTATCTTTGTAAGTTGGGAACTCAATACCTTCACTGTGATGGTTATTTCTACATCAACGTGATTGGGCCACAGGGTGCTCAACTTAAACACCGTTTCCATATGAATGGGAGAGTGTTTCCAGATTCAAATATGGACTCAGTAGATTGCACTTCCAGATGTGATTGGGAATCATCCCATCCACTGACAGCCTGAATAGAACAAAAGGTGGAGGAGGAATTCTCTCATGTTTTCCCTCCTCACTGCCGACCTAGGACACCTCATCTCATCTTCTCTTGCCTTCTGACTGGGATTTCCAACGGGTGGAGTTATGCCACCAGTTCTCCTGAGTCTCCAGCTTGCCGATGCAGATTATGGGCCTTCCCAGCCTCCATAATCCTCGCATCGATCTCTGCATTCACCTACCTACCTACCATCTGTCAGTCTGTCTACTATTGAGTCTGTTTCTCTGGCGAGCCCTGACTAGTCCTGGTGTTGAGTCAAAAGAACCAAGCTCACAAGAGGCAGATGCATAAGCCAGAATTAATTACCAAGATGATGAGAACAGTTATGAGGATAGGTCAGGGCCTTTACTACTACATGGAAATCTATTCAGAAGTCAGATAATAACCAGAAGAGTGCATAACGAATACAGAATAAGAACATGGTCTCTTGAGGCCAAGGAAAAGCAAAGAACTCTTTGTCAGGATTCTAGTCAATTGTGAATTAATGCTATCTAATGCACTGTGAAACTCTTAGCAACTACACACAGTTCCTTTAGGAAGCAAAGGAGTGTAAGCAGAGCTAAGAGAATTTCATCTGGGTCCTGATGACACCAGACAAAGTATCCTTGCTTCATGGGAATTCAAATGTCACATTACTGAACTCTTTAGGCCCAACAGATCTGCAATGCTGGTGAAACATCAAATCATTGCTCTTGGAGTTCTTCCTTCTAGTCTCCACTTTTTCTCCCTCCCCCTACATTCTCTCTTCATCCAGTATAATTAAATAGATTTAGGTATTCTTAATTACAGCCACACATTCCAAGTAGGCCTTCTGGAATTTACACATTCAACTCAGATGACTGGTTTGAACTGTTCTCACATACAAGACACTTAACTGAAAATCTGTAGTTTATGCAGGGTTCAATTAATCTGCTTACCTATTTCCAAATGCTTGGAAATCACCTCACCCTTCATTGCTGACTTTTCCATAAAATCAATAGAGACATTTTTAAAGTGCAGAGTAGAGAGGAACTCCCTTCACATTGGCACATGATTGAGTTTTGCTGATAGCTAAAAGGGGCAAATGGGTCCCAGTCCTTTAGTCTCTTTTCTCTGGGCTAAACATCCCTCACACCTTCTGGGGATCATTAGTGGGAGGCCCAAAGAGCCTCTGGAGTCAATGTCCCTCAAATCGAGGGCCCCAAATTGGTCATGACCCAAGGAATTCAACTTCGGAAACACTTACTGGGTATCTGTTACATTCCAGGCACTGAGATTATAAGAGACTGAGACACCTTCTGCCCTAAAGGAGCTGCATGTAGTTGCTAAAGAGTCACAGCGAGTTAACAGTTGTCAGCAAAAGTACTTAAAAAAAGAAGGAAAGAAAGAACAGCATTAAGAAGTTTGGTGAACCCTAGAGCAATAATACCAGGTTTAACTCAGGCCACCGAACCTTGGATAACTAAGTAAACTGAACTCTGTTACTAAGCGGCTCCGCGCCCACACAGCCCCGACCCACAAGCCTTCGAGGAGCCGGACGGGACTAGCCTGCCTGACCACGCCCACACACTGCCCCCTAGGACTCCCGACTCCCATTGGCTGCGGAGAGCAAGGGCGAGCCAATCGTTGTAGACCTTATCGCCCTCCTCTTGGGGATCACTTCCGCCGCTGGGGTTAGTTTCCGCCCAGCTTGCCCGGCGTCACCCGCGCGGCTGGAGTCAAGATGGAGGAGTATGCGCGAGAGCCTTGGTGAGCCCCATACGCTGTCTTTGCCTTTCCGTTCTCCCCTCTCTGCCCACTCTCTCCCGGAGTGTAAGCCGCGCTTAGTCGCAGGCGTGGTGACGTGGGCTGGTGACCGTGGACAGTGCGGACGTGAGCGGCTAGTTAGGGTCTTAGTCCTGTACTCCTCCATCTCAGCACCCCTGTGACCTTGCGGTGGATGATGAGGAGGTCCAGGCTTGGGCTTGATGGAGCCTTGGAACCTCTTCCCGTCTTTGGGAGCTGTTGACATTATGCAGGGACAGTAGGAGTCTCCTCTGCCCGTGACTTTGGACGCGTCCCTGTGCCTCACTTTGGTCAGTTACTTTGTTGAGGAAGGGAAGATGGGTCTCCGAGGGAGTGCCATTTTTGAGGCCTCATTTGTATCGTGATACGTGTCCACAGGATGAAGCATTTCAAATGAGTGGAACATAGATTTCACCCAAGGGGTATAGGGTCGTTTTTTCCTTGGAATTTTCCTTTCGAGGAGGGAGGAACAGAATCTGGAAAATAGGAAGAGAAAGCTGCCTGTGTTCTCTGAAAAACTATGAACAGAAATCCATTCATTCGTTCAGCATTTTTCGAGTGAGGGCCCTGTGCTGGCACTCGGTTAGGGTAAAAGAATAAAAGCATGGCTAAATCAGGCACATGATTACAAAAACAGTGTAATAGTTACTAGAAGTCTCAGGTTGTCTGAGTTTAAAGCTGCTGGGTCATAAGTGAAAAACCTTGATACTTATATTAATCACCTGTTTGTAAGAAGAAGCATCAAAGTATTCTCAGTTGTGAAAGCACCCAAGACTTTAAGTTTTTACACTGTTGCGGGCTTTATGTCCCACCCTCAAGACATACAGGATATGTGGTTCAGCCTCTTCTTCAAATGAGTTACCCTTTCTTGTATTGGGCTTGGATATGCAGGGCTCACATATTATAAATTGCTATTAGATACAGTATATTGACACCAGTTTGGAGGGGGGGCTTAATTTTGTTGAGTTAAAGAGTTTATAAAAATAATAGGTTTTCAGCTGGCATAGTGGCGCACAGGTGTAATACAGCACTTCAGTAATTGAAGCAGGATGATTTCCAGTTTTAGGACAGTATAGGCTACATAGCGAGACCCTGTTTCACAAAAAAAAATTAATAATGACTTTACCTTTCCTGAATCATTTGATATCCCCTTTTCTTTCACTTAGTACGTATAGCCTGGTTAGTTTTGTAGTCAAAATTGCTTTGATCTTCTGACTGCCCTGTTTGATTATAGTGTTCTCTTAAGTCAACCAAGCTCAAAACTAAGCATCTTTTTCTTCCGTGCACTACCCTCCTCCTCAAAATGTGCAGTCTGAATTCTTTCAAAATGTCTGTCTTTGTTTCTATTGTCAGAATTTTATCTGGTGCTTTGACAATGGCTTTCTAATTGTTTTCCTTATTTTCTCAGTATCTAATACAGCATATGGGTTAAGTATCCTAAATATTTTTTATCATGTGTTCTTTTCTTAGAAGCCTTTGGGCTCTTGATTTAGGGGGAAGAATTTGAGGCTTTGGAGTATCAGATTTTGCACTTAAATTGGCTCTACTGGAGCACGTTGGTTAATCTTTGCATTTGTTCATCTGTAAAATGAAGAGGAGCCAGAAATACTATAAAAATAATGATTTTTCAGCCAGGTGTGATGGTGCATGTCTTTAATCCCAGCACTCAGGAGGCTAAAACAGGAGAATTGGAAAGTTTAGGCCAGTCTGGTCTATATAGCAAGACTGTGTCTCAAAAAAGAAAAATTAACTTGCAAAGTTTAAAGATTATAGATTCTAAATGAAAGTTCATAGGCTTTATTTGCACAATAGGGTGCCTAAAAAGCATAGTTGATAGTTAAATGGTAACTTTTAATCTTACTACTGTTAGTTACTAGTTCTCTGTTGCCTGCATTTGTCTGACACATTCTTGCAGGGTCTGGCTTCACCTTTCTGTGTTGCTTATCTCTTCCCTGTAGGAACATTTTGATCCAGACTTTGTTCAGAAATTATTTCAATCTTGCCTCTGTTTTAGACATCCTTTCGGAATAGTGTGACTGCTCTCTGATTTGAATCCTGCTGGTCTTCATTAATTTTTAATGCTTATTTATTTAAATTCCAATTAACTATAAGATCATTTAAACTAGAAATGTAGTAGACCCCCAACCCTTTCATATTTCTTTGTATGCCCATAGAGACTTCCTTGTTCGCCCTATTCTGGACCACTGTATGCAGAAAATGACCATTGTCTCTCATTCTACAGTTACTGACTCCTTACAATTAGAGCAACTAATTCATTCTTTTGCCTTCCCTCTTTATTTCTTATTACTGTTTCTACCATTTTAAAGAATTTTTTCTTATCTTTTGCAGTCTCTCAAAGTACTGCTTCTCAAAGTTAAAAGTTTAATCAAGTCACCTGTAGATTGTGTTACAATATAGATTCTGGGGTTTGGAATGTAGTTTAGTGATGGAACACTTGTCTAGCACATGCAAGTCCCTGATTTCAGTCTCCAGCGCTGGAGGGGAAAAAAATTAAAAAGTAGATTCTGATTTTATAATCCCTGGGTAGAGCCTAAGAGTGCATGTCTAATAGGCTTCCAGGTGGTGGTCTTACTCATTTTAGGACCACACTTTAGGTAACAAGGCCCCAAAGCATCCTGCTAACAGAATGTTGCATGAGATAAGTATTTGTGTACAAGGTCCTGATTAGGATTATACTTGGAAAAGGTATGTCATTTCATGTCAGGGCTTTGTATTCCTATCTAGCAGAGGCAGAATTTACTTGTTAATCAGATTCTAGGCGGCCAGTAATGTTTGAATTTGTAAATTTAAGATCATATATCTGTGGGGGGGAGGTTCAAGTATGATATAGTTGATACATTGTAAGAACTTTTGTAAATGTCACAATATACCCCCACCCAGCACAACAATAATAATTTTAAAAAGAGCATGTATCTGCACTTAACAATGATTACCAATAGGCTGGCTACTACTTGTCTCTTGAGACTGGATAAAAGAAATTTCTTACTTATAATGGGTAATGGGTTAAAAATGATTTAATTACTCACAGGGTTTTAAAACCGGATTCCTAGAATAATAGTTTTGTTCTGTTCAAATTATTCAGATTTCATTGTTACATAAATTAGGGTGCTATATTTGGAAGCTGAGCTTACAAACTGAATCTCTAACTATTGGATATTATTCCCGTGTGTTAAATAGATCTGATGCAAATGAAAGTTTCAAATGCTTGCTTGAATTCACTTATTTCAGAGAGAATTGCAGACTTTTAAAAATTTGTCTTTGTCTATAGCCATTGAATCTTCCTTGGATCTCTGCTTTAAAGTTTACTGCTGCTGGAGAGCTTACCCTGATCTCTAGAGAACTGAACCAGCATTGTGGTTTAATGTGTAATTTCCTGTGTATTTACTTATTTGATTTTGCATAGTGCCTGGTTATAACTGACATGAAAATTACTAAGTGAATGAATAAAGTGCTTCTAAAATTAGGAAATTAAGCTGGACTTGGTGGTACATGCCTTTAATCCCACCCAGTACTCATGACGCTGAGGGAGGAGGATCTCAAGTTCTTACCAACCTACATTTGACCCTGTCTCAAAAATTCAAAAACAAACAAAAGAATAGGAAGTTAAGTCCAGTGAAGTGGCTCAGTCCTGTAATCCCAGCTACTTGGGAGGTGAGGCTGGAGGATTATAGGATTACTAGTTAAGGCTAGCCAAGTCTGGAATTTTATGATTTTACACACTTCTTAAAAAAAAACAAAAAAGGAAGTGCATTTAGAAGTGCAGTGCATATAATCATTTAAAAGTTTGCACTGATGCCTAAAAGAAAAGCCCAATCAGCTTGATCAGTTTCTCTGATCCTTCAGGTTATGTTCTTAGCTTTATGTTATCCCAGAAACTACCATTTCTTCTAAGTTAGATGACTTGGGGCAGAATAGATAACAGACATGTTCTGTTCTGTATCCATTATCTTTGTCTATATTTTATAAGCCAAATGTTTATTGGTTGCAGTGGGCCCTGCGTGGAAATCTGTTGTATCCATTCTGTGTTAGCAAAGATTTTATGGTATGTGGATGAGAAATAAGCTAACCTTTTTTCCCCCTTCTTCTCTTCTTAGCCCCTGGAGAATTGTGGATGATTGTGGTGGGGCCTTTACGATGGGTACCATAGGTGGTGGTATCTTTCAAGCAATCAAAGGTTTTCGAAATTCGCCAGTGGTAAGTGGGTGTTTGGTCTTATTTTACCGTCACGTAAAACTGTTTGGTTGGTAACATTACTGGTGGCCCCATCGGTGGGTTAGAAATGCATTATACTTCTAATGTATTATATTTGGGGCTGCTTCCTTTTGCTTTGTTATAGGGAGTAAACCACAGACTACGAGGGAGTTTGACAGCGATTAAAACCAGGGCTCCACAGTTGGGAGGTAAGTAGAATTTTTCTATTTGTACTCCAGACTATTTTCTGTTTGCTTGAAGATGGAACTATGTTTCTCTCTCGCGCTCTTTCTCTCTCTCTTTTTCTTTCTCTTTCTCTCTCTCTTCCTGCCTCCCTCTTTCCCTCCCCCCTTCCCTCCCTCCATTTCTCTTTCTCAGGTTCTTTTGAGACAGGGTCTTGCTGTGTAGCCCAGGCTGGACCCAGACTTGCATTTTCTTGCTTCAGCCTCACCAGTGCTGAGTGTTACATGATTGTGCACTACTACCATGCCCAGCAAGCTGTTTTGTCTTTCTTCAGATTATACCAGTTAGTGATTTTAGTTGGATCTAATGGCTTATCACAGACAGTAGTCTTTGTAGTTTCTTGATTTATGGTTTTTTTGGAAAGTTATATTCATTGGAAAATCTTGTCTTTGTCCTTCAGATGTTCAGTGATGTTTATTTATTTCCCACTCCAGAAGAAAGATTGTTTAAACCTTAGATTTGGAGAGTCAGGCATATAGCTTCTGGGATAACATAAGACTGACAAGAATGTGGTGTGAAGGATCAGAGAAACTGATCAAGCTGATTGGTCTTTTTTCCAAGGTTAACTTTTAGGCATCAGTGCAAAATTTTAAATGATTATATGCATTGCACTTCTGAAACTTGGTTTATTCAGAAGCTGGAAGAAAGGAAATGGCAAAAGAGTGTGAAAATGATATTCACGGGCAAAGATACAAATTCATATGTCATGAAAAAGACATAATGCCTGTCATTCCTTAGAAATGAAAAAATCTACTGAGGTCATTCTAATCTATGTAGACAGCATAGCTCCCCCAGGGCAAGGAATTACTAAGTAACTTTTCTTTAGTTCCATTAAGGAATATATGACATCTAGTATTGGATCAGATCTGAGGGGCTGGTGCTGTCCTTCAATTGGCACTCTCCACTGGATTTAATTGATGATGTAAGAACTGGAAATGATCTGGTTCAGATATTTGTAAGAACCCAGTTTATTGGTCTTGTTTACATACCCTGTTACTACCCTGAGATGTCAGGGGACAAAGAATAAAGTGACTAGGGCTCCAATGTGCAGTTTTTCTCCTTAATTTCATTAAATATAGCAACTCTCCTGTTGACACAAGACTTGTGTAATCATTTTAGAATTGGAAAACATAAAAAAACAAATTATATCACCTGTTACATCACCCAGAAATGCTGGCAATTAAAATTTTGGTGGTATCTTTCTATATTTTGTTTGTACTTGTGTATGTATATGTGTGGGTCTTTGTTTATTTTACAAAATTGTTTTTATGTTTAGGTAGAGTTAAGTACAAAGTAATCTTCTGGTTTAAGGTTTTTAGATTTGTGCTTGAGGAGTAAATGATAGGGAGGAGGAAAGAAAGAGCATTTGCCTCCCTGTGGGGATTCCATTGTTTTAACTGTTTGTATCATTCATTTGCCACTTCAGCCTGTATCACCTGCCCCTGTAATACATTCCAGAATAGCTGGGTTTCTTTATATTCCTGTCAGTGATTTTCATAGAGTAGGTACTGTGTGATACCTAATGAAGAAAGGGAAACTAGAGATAAGTGAAGTTAGGAAAGGAGGAAACAGGATGGTTTAGTTTTTGTTACTGCTGTATAAACAGGGATGCAATGTTCTGAAAGTGATTTACATGTTTTAAGACATACGTAGCTTGTAATATTCTAGCTGATAGAATGCAGTCCAAGCTTTATTCAAAAGATAAGTATTCTGACAACAGTTCACTATTCAAACTCCTGTGTATGTGTATTTGGAGTATAATAGTTTTGAGAATATAGTAAATGTTATTTAAACTTATTTTTGACTAATATTTTAAATGTAAGGTGAAAATTTGAATTTAAGTTGGTATTTGTTTCTTTTTAAAAATGAAATAGGTAGCTTTGCAGTTTGGGGAGGCCTGTTTTCCATGATTGACTGTAGTATGGTTCAAGTCAGAGGAAAAGAAGATCCCTGGAATTCCATCACTAGCGGTGCCTTAACAGGAGCCATCCTGGCAGCAAGAAGTAAGCAGTCATAGACACATTCATGGGAACCAGGCCTTTGGGATGACCCATGTGTCTTCATTTAATGACGTTTGTAATATGTAAAACTCAGCATTGCTTAAGTTGGTATAGCATGAATGAATGTGGGTGATCTTAAAACAGGTGGGAGAGCAGGGGTTTTTTTTTGAATATTTGAGACCAAGAAAGCGTGAAATTTTTGTTATTGTTGTTATTTGTTTCTGAGACATGGTCTCATTATGTATCCCAGGCTAGCCTGAAACTTCCTGTGTGGCCCAGGCTAGACTCAAACTTAGGCTTTTTTTTTTTTTTTTTTGGGTGATGCTGGGGTTTGAACTCAAGGCCTCATGCTTGCTAGGCAGGCGCTATTATCACTTGAGCCACTCCACCAGCCCAGAATCTTTTCATGGGCTTTTTTTTTTTTGGTAGACTCAAACTTGGGATCCTCCTGCCTCAGCCTCTTGAGTGCAGGGATTACAAGTATGTACCACAACATCCAGCTAACCTGTAGTTTTTTGTTTTTGTTTTTCCAGTGCTGGGGACAAAACACAGCTTTAGGCATGCTAGGCAAGTGCTCTACCACTGAGCTTCATCCTTGGTCTTTTAGAGCATGCAGCTCTAACCCATGAGTTACAGTGATTAAGAACATTCAGGTGCTAGTTCTGGCACTTATTAGCTGTGTGACTAGGCAGTATGCCAAGCTTTTGATGCTGTGTTTTCATCAGTACTCTTAAACTAAAATAGTACCTGCCATATAGGATTGTTAGGAATAAAGAGCTTAAAACCATCTTCTGGGACTAAGCAATCAGGATTCCTTTGGGCTTAGTGGTTTAACTCAGAGCTTTGTAAACTTTTTTTCTCTAAAAGGCCAGGTAGTAAGTATTTTAGGCTCTGTGGATTTTTGTGAGCTAGTCAGCTCTGCTGTCATCGCATAAAAACATCCACAAACAATGCATAAATGGAAGAACACGGCTATATTCCAATACTGCTTTATTTACAAAAACAAAGTAGGCTGGATGGATTTGACCTGTGGGCCATAGTTTACTGACTATGAATCTTGGATAATGAGAAAAAGTTTGAGAATGGGAGAAGCAGATACCCATGTGGATAGCCATTTCCTTTAGCGTAATCTTTGTTACTAATGTCTTCAGATGGACCGGTGGCCATGGTTGGCTCAGCTGCGATGGGTGGCATTCTACTAGCTTTAATTGAAGGAGCCGGTATCTTGTTGACAAGGTTTGCCTCTGCACAGTTTCCCAGTGGTGAGTCTTCCTTCTCCTTATAGTATAGCTCAAATACTTTGAGATAGCTCCTGATGTTAAGAAAGAACATAGTTTGTCTGCTAAAATGGGGTGCTTTGTGATACATTGGGCATTAATATGCTGAAGTTCATAAAGACAGTGATAATAGGCCCAGATTCTAGTTGAAAAGTGAACAGTGCTGTCTGTAATACTATGTTTAGTTAGCCACAGTGACAAAATGCTTTGGTTACATCATTTGTTGTTGGTCTTTGTTCCTAGATTTCATATTTTATCCGTGTTCATTGGCTTATTCTGAGAAAATTCTGGTCATTTTAAAGATAATTGAAGGATGGTTCTGCAGACGTGTAAAAATGACAGGATTGGGGCCCTGGCTCAAGTGGTAGAGTACCTGCTTAGCAAGCAAGGTCCTAAGTTCAAACCCCAGTATTGTAACAATAATGGTAATCGATAACTTCTATTGTACATACTGCATATGAGGCACTATTCTAGGTGCCAGGGACAGAGTAATTAAGAAGAGAGTCCCTGCCTGCAAGGACTTACATATTGGTGGACTAAAGCAGGACTAACAAATTAACAGATAAATGAGATTATTTCAAGTAGTGTTGTTTGCTTTGAAGAAAATAAAGTAGACTGGGCACTGGTGAGTCACACCTGTAATCCTAACTACTCAGGAGGTAGCGATCAGGAGGATTGTGGTTCAAAGGCAGCCCAGGCAAATAGTTCTAGAGACTCTTATCTCAAAAATAACACACACACACACACACACACACACACACACACACACACACACACACACACACACACACACACACACACACACACACACGGTTGGTGGTAGTGGCTTAAGTGATAGAGCACCTGCCTAGCAAACATGAGACCCTGTGTTCAAACCCCAGTAAATTTCAGTCTGTTAATGGAAATATCCCACTTCTGACACTGGAAGGAAGCAGACAGCTATGAAGATTATAGTAGTAAAAAAATTTGGCCTAGCATTTAGATAAGGAAATAGAAGGAATAGAAAGACATGTTGAAAATTATTTTTGGAGCTTGGAAAAGAGTCAGCATAGAGTTAGGAACAGATCGTACGTCCCAATTTGATTTGATTTCCCTGAAGCACTGAGAGCGGTTGAATATCTCATTGGCACAGTTTCTGAACATGCTCATTAGATGTGAGTGGGCTGATCTGAATGACCTCTTACCTTATGTTTCTGTTTTTCAGTCATTACTTGTGAGTTAACACTCTATCTTGTTGGTCACGTTCTAATTTTGCTTTTCAGTGTTCAGTCATTTTAGTGTGAAAGACTTCATAAGAAACACCAAGAGTTGCATATTTGTAGAAATTCAGAACTGGAGCTGCAATGTAGCTTAGCAGTTAGTGCTGGGCTAGCGTGCGCAAGGCCACAGGTTCCATTCCTCGCACTCGGGGGAGAAGAAAAACACGAAAAAGGGAGAGAAGATGAGAGAGAGTAAGGAAGGGAAGAAAGGAAGGAAATAAATTCAGAACTGAATGTAACAAAGCTTAAGTGGCTATATTGTCCTAAAGAAATCAACCTTGGTTACATTACTTTAAGTGTTTTTTGTTTGGAAGAAATCTCCATTAGAGTAATCAAAACTCAATATAGAAGCAACCTAAAGGTTGTGCATTTTATTTTTAGATATGCTTTTGAAAAGCTGTGCAGAGGGAAACCTTTGAATACTTAGTCATATTTTTCTTTTCTTTTTTGATATGACTAAGGTTTGAAGTCAGGGTTTAGCACTTGCAAAGCAGAACTCTACCACTTGAGCCACACCTCCAGTCCACTTTCTCTGGTTATTTTGGAGATAGTCTCACAGACTGTTTGCCCAGGGTGACCTTGAACCGCAGTCCTTCTGATCTCAGTCTCCCAAGTAGCTAGGATTACAGGCGTGTGCCAATGGCACCCAGTTCTATCAATTTTAATTTACACAAAAAAGTTCTTAAAACAGTTAAGAATCCAGGCATGGTGGTTCATGCCTATAATCCCAGCACTTGGGATGCTAAAGACTTGAGGATCCAGAGCTCAAAGCCAGCCTGAACTACATACAGAGACCCTGTCTCAAAAAAGATTAGCTACAACCATATCTAAATGATAATAATGGTTATTTTTTACCCAGTGTCTTCTAAAGTTTTCTATAATAAGCTGATTCTGTTTTTCCAGAGAAATAGAAATGTGTCATTGGTGTGAAGTACTTGGAAAACTTCAGGGAATGTTACCATTGTGTTTTACCATTTTATCTTTTTCTTTTTTCATCTGTTTCAGTTTCCCTATAGAAGAAAATATTTATTATTCCCCTGAAAATCTTTTTTTTTTTTTTTTTTTTGCAGTACTGGGACTTGAACTCAGGGCTTTCGCCTTGAACCACTCCATCAGCCCTTTTTTGTGAAGGATTTTTTGAGATAGTGTCTCATGAACTTTTTGCCCATGCTGGCTTCGAACCGTGATCCTTCTGATCTCTGCCTCCTGAGTATTGAGGATTACAAGCATGAGGCACCGGCGCCTGGTCTCCCGAAAGTCTTTTAAGGGCCACATGTTTTTGTTACTGTTTTTTCTCAGTTCCCAGACCCTTTCATTGTTGAGAAATAAGAGTTTTGTTCTGCAGCAAGATAGAGGCAGTCTTCCCATTTTAGAGCTCATTCCCTAAGAATTGGTTATATAAATTAGATTATATGACTAAGGTGCTTACACTTTGCAAAAATAATTTTAAGTAGCTACAGAAAAATGTGTCAAGAGGTGGGAGAGATTCTTGAATCTTGACATATGGTAGCTTGTTATAGCAGTTGCTTTCAGAGAGATTAATTCTTGCTGTAATGAATCCATCTGACTTTCCGGGCATCATATCTGAGAGGTGTTCACTCTGGAGCATCCGGGAAGCCCCTCTGTCATAGAACACCAAATTTGACGGTTCTCTAGCCCTCTTGTGGGAATTTAGCAGATCTATAAAAATTCAGATTACAGCTCTAGTGTTGCACCAAGTTTTTGAGTTAATAGTTTATTTGCTACAGAGACTTGTTTTAAATTATATGGTAGTCATATCTTTTTCAAAACCCTTTTTATTTCTTACTTGTAGGTCCTCAGTTTGCTGAAGACCCCTCTCAGTTGCCTTCAAGCCAGTTACCATCCTCACCTTTTGGAGACTATCGACAATATCAGTAGAATTTTTCTCCCTAGGATTTCCTTAACCGAATGAGCTATATAGTTGAAGAATGTGTTCAGATCAAGTTAAAATCTGTTTTTAAAACCATAGGTGGGACTACTGAGGCCAAATAGGCTGTGAAGAGACATTTAGCACTTTTTTCTATTTAAAGGAACATAGAAGGAGGATAAAAGATAATGCGTTTATTTATTCACACTTGGATTGCATTTGTGACCAAAATAAATGTCTAATATCATTAAAATATAATAAGTGCTTAGAAGATGAAGGACCAAAGGACAAATAACAGTGAAATGTGGCCATCGTTTCCTTGGGGACTTCTTGGCCCAGTTGTGTGTATAGGTATTCAAACAATAAAAAGCTCTGGAACTTACTCATTCTTTTAAGATAAGTTGTAGAATTCTTTTCATACTGAGTGTAAGCGTGTTTCACACCGGTCCCTCATCGCACTTGATGTGAATTACGTATGGGAAGAATTGCGCGGAGTCAACGTGAATCATTTTACAGTGAAATTCTTTATGGATTGAAGAATATGGCAGAATAACCCATCCTTTCCTTTGAAAGTAAGACATGCCGTGACTTGGTTTTGAGGATGCTGGACAGAAAACCATCTTTCCTTTAGGGCTACTGTATCTTGATCTTGGTCATCAAACCTTATCAGAACCAACATACCCAATTCTATATGAGAAGACTTCTTGTAAGGAAGTGTTTCATTTGTTGTTTAAATAACATTGTCAATCAATTACATTCTTACTTTATTAACTGTCCTCACTCTCATACATACATTGACTGCACATTACCTCTCAAGAAGAAACCCCACTCTCCTCCACTCATGTTCATTAATTAGAACCATTTCCTCTTACCTCTACACAGATATTTATTTTTCCTTGCATCTACTAAAGGTCCCTGTTACAAGCTCAAGATCAGGAATTCTGTCTTCTGCGAGAAAAATCAAAACATCAATGAAGACCTGAACCTGAAGAAACAAAAAAAAAAAAAAACAAAAAACAAAACTCTGAACCTGACTGGACATGGTGATACATGCCTGTAATCCCAGCACTCAGGAGATGAAGGTAGAAGGCTCTCTGAGTTCAAGGCCAACCTGGGCTACATAGCCAGACACTGTCGAAAACTCAAAATAACAAAATATGTTGCTTTTAATTTGTTCTAAGTCCCCTGACGTTGACCTTCATAAGAAGTATGGAAATTTTTTTTAAATACCCATCTAGTGTATACGAAGTGGTATCTCTGTTTTGTTTGGGATTAGTTTTTCAGTACAGGTTGTTTTCTTGTTTGTTTTGGAAATGACGTGGTCTTTAAAAGACTTGATGTTAGCTAGGCACAGTGGCTCACTGCTTTAATCCCAGTTACTCGAAAGGATCACATTTCAAGGCTAACCTAGACAAAAAAATTATCAAGACCCTATCATAAAATAAGCCACATTGACTCGTTTGTCATCCCAGCTACTTGGAAAGCTGACCCTGGGCAAAAGTGTGAAACTCTATTTGAAAAATAACGAACCAAGCGCCGGTGGCTCACGCCTATAATCCTAGCTACTCAGGAGAATTGCGGTTCAAAGCCAACCTAGGCAGATAGTTCGCGAGACCCTATCTCTAAAAACCTTTCACAAAAATAGGGCTGGTGGAGTGGCTCAAGGTGAAGGTCTTGAGTTCAAGCCCCAGTACCACAAAAAAAAAAAAGGGTGCCAGCTTAAGTAGTAGATCACTTGCCTATAAGGTTGAGGCCCTGAGTTCAAACCCCAGAACCACCACAAAAAGGCACATTGGTAATCCTATTTGCCTCTGTCGTCTGGGTGAAACATAGAATGAGTCTGTTTACTGTGAGCACACACTTCTCTCTTAGTGCAATCCTGTACTTATAGTAAGCATTTAATTACTAATTGTGATTCAGGGCTTTTGTAAAACATACACAGAATTACCTTAAACATTTGTAAGTTATAGTTCAGATACAGGCACAGTGAGGTTTATCAGCATTGGGTATACTCAAAATGTCACCATTGTCACCCACAGGAGCTCTGTACCCATTAATCAATCACTTTCCATTCTCCCCTCTCTCCAACCCTTGGTAACCACAATTCTGCTTTCTGTCTGGATTTGCCTACTCTAGGTGTGTCATATAAGTGCAATCGTACAGTATTCATCCTGTGTCTCAGTTGACTTTGCAGAATGTTTCAAGGTCCATCCGTGTTGTAGCATGTGTCATTCATTTTTATGACTGAATGATTCTCCGTTGTATGCATATACCACATACCGTTCATTCATTCATTCGTTGATGGTAATGAGCCGTTTCCAGTTTTTCTCTGGTGAATTATGTACTAGCATGCAGATGTCTACTTGAGTCCTTTCCTTTAGTTCTCTTGGATATATAACTTGGGTTAAGCTTGTGGGTCATATGATAGTTCTATGTTTAACTCTGAGGAACTGCCAAACTTTTCCCAACGGCTGCACCATTTTAATGCTCCCAAGAGCAACGCAAGAGGGTTTAGTTTTTTCACACCCTTGGCAATACTTGTTTTCATTTTTGCCCCCAAGTGCCAGGGATTGAACTCAGAGCCTCTCGTATGCCAGGCAAGCACTGTACCACTGCACACCCAGCCCCTCCTTTAGGAAAAAAATTTTTTTTAAATATGCATCTAGTGTATATGAAGTGGTATCTCTGTTTTGTTTGGGATTAGTTTTTTGTTTTTCTCCTTGTGGCTTTGGTTTGCATTTCCCCAAAAAAACTGATAAGACCCATCTTTCATGTGTTTATTGGTCATTTGTGTATCTTTGGAGATAATGTTTTAAATTCTGTAGCTCTTCAGCTTTCAGTCAGAAAGGAGATGTGTATCAGGAACAGTTTAAACAGAATATGTTAAGTTGCACAGAAAATGCTTTAAGTGGCCTCTAAATTCCTTTTAATTGGTATATCAGTGTGGAGAATAAGTTCCTTTCATGTGAATAAAATTTGATTCTTTGAGGCTGGTTTACAGATGATGCTGGAATGTCTGCCATTCTGTTGGTGAATTCTGGATATTTTCAAGAGCTATGCTCTTGTGGCCTTCCACCTCGGTGCTCTGTGGAGAGGGAACCAGATGGTTTAGATATGCTGTATACCTTTAAAAACATGGATAGTGTTTTTAGTAAACATTTTTAGTAAATACTATAAATTTTGGGGCTGGTGGAATGGCTCAAGCAGTAAGAGCGCCTGCCTGGCAAACTTGGGGCTCTGAGTTCAAACCCCAGTGCTGCCAAAACAAACAAAATTAAAACTAAATTTGATATTAGAGCACAGGATAAGAAGTGAAACATCAAAATCATTTAAATTGCTAAAATAATTAGAGAAACAAACAGATGGGAAGGAGGTTTTCTTTAGGTCTATTCCTAGAACAGTGGAGCTAGTGTCTCCATTTCAGTGTTGACATGCCCAGTTGGAAAGATCCCATCTGTTTTTCTCCTTTTCCTAGTATCTGACAGTTGTATGAAATTGGTATGTGGTAGTGGCTTTCTGAGACAGTTTGGAAGATGTGGGTACAGCTGCACCTGCTATTGAAAATGTTTCCATTTGTCGATGATTACCTGCAGATCACGAACGCGTGATCACAGCGCCACCCCGTGGTGTGTTTTGATGAACTCATTGTCTGATTCTATTCAATCTGTTACATCATGGGTCAGCACATTGCAGCAGCTTGTTTGTGTAAATAGTGTGTTGTATACAGCCACATATGCATGTTTCATATACACAGTGTCTGGCTTTCTTGCTACTGTGGCAGAGTTACGTAGTTGTGACGGCCTCTGCACCCCACAGCCAGCACAGGAGAAGCAGGATTAAATCTCGGTGATGAAACTGAATCTTGACAAAAGCCACATTTTATAATAAGCACTTGATAATATTGACTAAATGAATAAATTACAGGCAAACATGTCTACTTTTCACATGTCTGTAGCTTTTGAATGAAATGTATTGGACTAAAAGCGTGACTCAAGCTCCAGAGTGTCTGCTTAGCAGGTGTGAAGCCCTGAGTTCAAACACCACTACTGCAAAAAAAAGTATATTTTGGATTTACAAAATGTAATAATAAATACATTAAACATCCATGTGCCCTCCACATGGCATAGGAAATATTTCTCATACAGTTGAAGTTCCTTTTTTTTTTTTTTTGAGGGGGTGCTGGGGTTTAGACCCAGAGTCTTATGCTTGCTAGGCGGGCACTCTGTGACTTGAGCCACTCCGCCAGCCCCTTCTTGTGAAGGTTTTTTTTTGTTTTTGAGATAGGGTCTTTCAAACTTCTTGCCTGGCTGGCTTCAAACCTCCATCCTCTGATCTCTGCCTCCTGAGTAGCTAGGATTACAGGTGTGAGCCGCTGGCGCTGGCAACTTTTAAATTTTCACATCAATAAAATTGACTCCTCAGGGAGTACAGTTCTATGAATTTTAACAAATGCATAGAGATGGGTGTCTACCACCCAGGTTGATAGAGAAGGGTTGTATCTCCCCAGGTTTCCTCATGCTGCCCTTCTGGCCAGTCCCTCCCCTTCTCCCTCCAAACAGTGTCCCATTGTTTGTTCATCCATTCAAGGTGAAGGATGAGGGCGTTTCCAGTTTTGGCAATTTTGAATAAAGTTGTTATCAACAGTTGCTACTTTTTTTGTGTGAACATCTTTTCATTTCTCCGGTAAGTATCTATGATTTATTCTCTTTCTGGTGCTCTTCTTTGCTTTGGACCCACATTTATCTGATACAGTAGGTCTGCTTGCTGTTAATTCCCTCACTTTTTGTTTATCCAAGAAATTATCTCTCTTTATTTCTGAAAAAGACTTTCTCTAGGTTAGCAGTGTTTTTTAAAAATAATGTTCTTTTAACACTTTGCAAAGGTCACAGCGCTCAGGAGGCTGAGGCAGGAGGACCACAAGTTTGAGGCCAGCTGGACTATGTAGGGAGACCTTGACTCAAAAGTCACTTCACTTTCTTCTGGCTGCTATGACTTCTAACAAGAAGTTTGCTGGGATCATTTATTTATTTATTTATTTTGATATAATGTCGTCTTATGTCACCTATCCCAAGCTGGCCTTGAACTTGCAATTCTGCTTCATCCTCCCAAGGGCTGAGATTGTGAAACTGTGCCCGGCTGCTTCAGCACTTTGAATACAATATGCTGATGTGATTAACTTGTATTTATCCTTCTTGGTGGTCTCTAAACTTCTTTGTAGTTTTATGCCTGCATTAATTTTGGAAAACTCCTGGCTATTTTTCCATTTTTAAGTTCATGTCTCATGTGTTTCTCCCCTCTCGTCTCTCGTCCTGGGATTGCAATTATAGTTACATGGTTAGGCATATCTATTTGATATTGGCCAGCAGATTTTGAGATCTTGGATATCCTGTTCTGTCTCCCCCTCTTTTTTTTCTCTTTGTATTTAAGTTAGGCAATTGCTATCTCCCTCTGACACACACACACACCTTACACCTCTCTCTCTTTCTCTTTCAGTGGGGCTGGGGTTTGAACATAGGGCTCAGCTCTTACCAAACAGGTACTCTACTGCTTGAGCCACACTTCCAGTCTGTTTTGCTCTTGTTTATTTTGAACATGCCCAGGCTGGCCTCAAACTGCAATTTTGATCTCAGCCTTCAAGTAAGTAGGGTTACAGGCATGAGGTACTGTGCTGGGCTGCCATTGATGTTTGATTCCCTCCTTTGGCTGTGTCTAGTCTACTGATGAGCTTTTTTAAGGCATTTTTCATCTCACACTATTTTTCATTTCTGGAATTTTCTTTTTTTTTTTTTTTTTCAGTTTTCATCTCTGCTGAAATTTCCCATTGCTGTGTTCTGATATATCCTCCCAAAATTCATATGTTAAAACAATCTGGCCAGATATGCGGGCTCATGCCTGTAATCCCAGCACTCAAAGGCTGAGGCAAGAGTATAGAGTTTGAGGCCAACCTAGACTACATAGAGAGACCCTGTCTCAAAAAAAAAGAAAAGAGGAAACAATGTGCCTGTGTTGGTACTCTTTATCATGTGTGAGGTCCTGGGTTCCATACCCAGCACTGAAAAAGAAAGAAAAAAATGGAACATGTTAAGTCACCCTGTCATAAATTGGAGACGATCTGTACAAACGTTCTTGAAAAGGTAGTCCAAAACAGAGGGCCGGCAGGCAGTGCCTCCTTTCCCAAAATGTGCAGAGGTGATCCCTGGAGAATTGGCTGCCAGCATTGTTTCCTAATGTAAGTGCGTTGTGGTTAGAGGAATATTCTGTCTGCTGTTGATCAAGGTTTGTTCACAGCCTCTGATTAGTTCACTTAACTGTCCTAAGTATTTTTTGAAATTAGTGTGTTTTCTCTAGTTGTTAGGTGCAAATTTTTGTGTGTGTCAATTAGGTCAAAATTGGGATGCTTTGCATAGACCTTTTGTGTGTAGTAACTTGAGTCTGCTCTGTTGATTACTGAGAGGAGGTGTGTAAAGGCTCTCACTTTGTTGGTGGATTTGTCCAGTCTCCCTCATAATTCTGTTAATTTTTGTTTCGTACATTTTGAGACTATATTATTAAGTGCATCATACTCCAATATATGAGCTAGAACCCTGACTAGTAGTTGTGATCCTCACCCATACCCGACTCCTGCTCCCCCAGCCTGTGCTAACTGCTATCCTGTCCTGCTCTTTTTTTTTTTCCCCAAATTTGGGTTGTTGGTTGTTACTTTTTAACTACGCATTTTCCCCATTTATTGCTTTGTGAGTTATATATTCAATTCTTGTCATTTAACTTGTTTCCTTTAAAATATTAATATGCACACAAAAAAATCTCACATTCAGTGTTATAGCACAGGGCTGGCATGCACAAGGAAGGCCCTGGTTTCAATCCCCAACCAAAAAAAACCAGATACATTTATCTCTCAGTCTACTCCACCTAACAGTACAAGAAGCTTAGAATACCTTAATTTTAGTCACCCCTCTTTGGTTATGGGCTCTTAGTCTACTCTTAGTTTTACCATGACTCCCTCATGCAAACATTATATTTCTGCTATTGTTTCATATAATGTTAGTTAAAATTCATCCTCTTTTCTTGCCACCATTCCTTTTTCGTATCTCACTTTTCTGAGATAATTTTCTTTCTTGAGGAAATTCCTTTAAAATTTCCTTAGTGGGACCTACTGATGGTAAATACTGTCAGTTTTTGTTACATAATTACTTTAGCTGGGTATGGTGGCACACATCTGTAATCTCAGTACTTGGGTGGGGGAGACAGGAGGATAGTTTGAGGCCAGCCTAGGCTACACAGACATTGTCTCAACAAATGAAACAGAAAAGCAAGACATCTGTTTGTCCTTATTTAATTACAGTTATAAGTTGACAGTTTTTTTCCCCCTCAGTATTTTTTTTGGAGGGGGGGTTGAAAAAGCAGAAATTTTTCTCTCAGTTCTGGAGGTCAAGATGTCCCTGGGGAGGGTCCTCCCACCTCTCCAGATCCTGGGGGCTCTCAGCCTTCCTTGCTTTGGCTGCATCCCTTGAGTCTGCTTTGCCTTCATGTGGCCTCTCTTTGTCTTTTGTCTCTCTTTTTTTAAATTTTTAACTTTATTTTTGAATTATCATACATTGATAATGTGAGAGAATTTCATTGTGATAACCCTCTGTGGATTTCATTATGCTGTCTCTCTCTCTCTCTCTCTCTATGTGTGTGTGTGTGTGTGTGTATGTAGTGTACTTCCATCTTCTTTCACCCCTCAGTATCCTTTTCTTTTCCCTGCCCCTTATTACCCAGACAACCTCCCAAGTACATTCATGTCCCATTATCATCATCATTGTTTTAATTTAGGTTCCACAAATGAGAGAGAACAAGTGACATTTGACCTTTTGAGCTTGGCTTATTTCAGCATAATGACCTCCAGTTTCATCCATTTTCCTGAAAATGGCTTAATTTTTCTTTATGGCTGAGTAATATTCCATGGTGTATACATACCATATTTTCTTTATCATTCATTGGTTGTTGGGCACCTTGCTGTTTCTGCATTTGGTATTGTGAAGAGAGCCACAATAAACATGGCTATGCAGTATCTCTCTTGTATATTGATTTATACTCCTTTGAATATATGCCTAAGAGTGGTATGGTGGGGTTATACGGTAAGTCTTTTTTTAGGTTTTTGGAGGGGTGGCTCAGGTGGTAGAGCACCTTCCTAGATAAGCTTAGCAAATGGGAGGCCCTGTGTTCAAGCCTTAGTACTGCCAAAAAAAAATTGTACATATTTTTAGTTTTTTGAGAAAAACTAAATTTTTCTCCATACTGATTTCCATAGTGGCTGCACTAATTTATATTCCCACCATGTGTAAGATAAGAGCCTCCCCCCCATATACATTTTCACCTGCTTTGTGTGTGTGTGTGTGTGTGTGTGTACTGGGGCTTGTATTTAGGGCCTTGCACTTAACTAGGCTGTACCACTTGAGCCACTCCTCCAACTTTTTTTGTGTTGGGTATTTCCGAGATAGGTTCTCCCAAACTATTTGCCTATGGCTGACTTCGAACCTCAGTTCTCCTAATCTCTGCCTCCTGAGTAGGTAGGATTACAGGCGTGAGTCACTGGCACTTGGCTTGGGTTGTCTGGTAACTACTGAGTTGTAGCAGGGTTTTGGGGTTTTTTTTGGCAGTACTAGAGTTTGAACTCAGGGCCTCAGGCTTTCTAGGCAGGCACTCTTACCGCTTGAGCCACTCCACCAGTCCTTGTTTTCTTGATGATAACCAAGATTGGGGTGAGATAGGAACTCATGGTAGTTTTGATTTGCTTTTCCTTTGTGGCTAAGAATGTCAAACATCTGTTCATAGCCATATCTGTTTGTTCTTTTGAGAACTGTCTATTCATTTGCCCATTTATTAATTGAATTATTTGTTCTTTTGCTGTTTAGTGTTTTAAGCTCTTAGTATATTCTGGATATTAATCCCTTATCTGTTGGGTAGCTGGCGAAGATTTTCCCCCATTCTGTGGGTTGTCTCCTGATTCTTTTGATGTGTAGAAACTTTTAACTTTGTGCAGTCCCATTGTCAATTCTTGCTCTTATGTGCTAGACAATTGGAGTCCTATTCAGAAAATAATTCTATCTTCCTATTTTTTACAGAGGTACTTTTCAATGTTTCAGGTCGTACGTTAAGATCTTTGATCCACACGCGACTGCGGGCGTGGAAGGGGAGGAATCTGGAAGGGTGTCCCACAGGGACACTTCAGGGTCAATTTGGGCAAAGTTGTCCTCTTCGTCCAAACTGCCGAGTTACCTGTGCGATGCTGGCGGAGTGGAGCTGTAGCGCTCGAGGGAAAGGGCGTGGTCCGTCCCAGAGTTTTCGGAGAGGGGCGTGGCCCGCGCAGGGGCGTGGCCTCCAATGGCGCGTCGTCGAGGGGCGTGGCCTCCCCGCGGGCCCGGCGGCCCCAGCCGGTTTTCCCAGCGGGTGAGCAACGGCGCAGCTGGGCCATGGCGGGCGGCGGTGCATCCCGACGGCCGCTGCACTCGGAGCAGGCGGTGGACGTGGCCTCGGCCTCCACGTTCCGGGCCTTCGAGATACTGCACTTGCACTTGGACTTGCGGGTCGAGTTCGGACCGCCGGGGCCGGGGCCGGGCAGCCGGGGGCTGAGCGGCACGGCGGTCCTGGAACTACGCTCCCTGCGGCCCGAAGGCGCCACCGAGCTGCAGCTCGACTCGCACCCGTGCCTCGAGGTGACGGCGGTGACCCTGCGACGGGAGCGGCCCGGCTCGGAGGAGTCGCCGGCGGAGTCCGTGCCCTTCCACACGCGGCCCTTCTCGCACTACGGCCAGGCTCTGTACGTGGCCTTCCCGCAGCCCTGCCTGGCCTCGGAGCGCTTCCAGCTGGTGCTCAGCTATCGCGTCGGGGAGGGACCCGGGGTGAGTGCGCGTCCCTGTGCCCAGCCCTGGCCGCAGGCCTCGCTCAGCGCTTCCTGCTCGCCCTTCCGCCTGTCCCCCCTCCCCCAGAGCGGGAAGAAGGAAGCCCTGGAGTGCCCACCTGCTCCCCTTGTGCACGCCTCGACCTGCCCCGCGCGTCCCTCGTAACCCCGGGCTGCGCCTGGGCTCCGAGCGCTCCGGCCACCTGAGCTCCGTCCTTCCCGCTCTCCCGGGCCGCTTGGGGCTTGGCCAGACCACCCCGCGTTTCCTCTCACCGCACTCACTCTGTTCAGAGGACCGTCCATACACCCGACTTCATGCTGTCCCAGGACTTGCGGACCTTGCGTCCCTGATTATCAGCGACATTCCTTCTGCTTTCTGGCACCCTGCACCGTGCTAGCTAATTAGCCGGATGCTGACTCAGCCCTTTAGTCTGTGTGCCCTTCTAGGTCCACAAGCTAAAACAAATCTGAAGCCTAGATCATTGTTTTTGTTTCCTCCTATGAAGTCCTGGATTTGACTAACAAAAGATTTGAGTAAAAGTGAGACCTGGAATTAGGGTGTTCTCGCAACCTGACTCTGAGTCAGTGTTGTACCTAATCCAGCTCAGGTGGCTGGAGCCGCTCACAGCCCAGGAGTGGGACACCAGGGTCCCCAAGTTAAGAGGGAGGTGTGGGTTCTCTCAATGTTGGTTGACTCTTAAATTGTAAGTTTTTGGAAATAAGAGGATGGGACATTATGTGACCTTCATCTGTGACAGTCAGTCCATGAAGAGGTCTTCAGCTGTGGCTACCAGTTTTTCTCAGGTAGGGTGGATGACAAGTATCTCAAAAGTGCTTGCTGGCAATTGAATCTTGTTTATCTGGCTGGCAGCTCCCCTTTGCTCTTAGAACTGGCTCGAAGAATACTTCTGTCTTTGACAGAACTTGTTTGGAAAACCAAAGTCCAAAGCGCATGGTCCAAACTAGCCTCAAAGGCAAAGACTGGCAGAGCCCTTGAGGGAAGCCTAACGTCTGTAAATGACTGTGCTATTTCTTAGTTCCTGCTTTTTGTCAGGAACTAGAAATTAAATGGAGTGAATGGAAAAATTAAACCTTCCCTGAATTTGTCTACTAAAAGTGGCATCTCAAATTAAATGGCAGAGTTGAGTAGCTTTCATTCAAGATCCAGTGGCAGGGGTCTTTACTTTGTATTGTTCTTTCATTGTGAAGGTCTTTGTTAATGGCATGCATGTATTCCTTCCCCTCTTTGTTACCATTCCTTTTTATTTATTTTTTGGCTGTACTGGGGTTTGAACTCAGGACCTTGTGCTTGCCAGGTGAGCATTCTACTACTTGAGGTATGCCCCCAGCCTCTGACTTCAGACTTTCTATGGTGCATGTACTGCCAGGTTCTTATTCATTCCATTTTCTTCACATCATTAGAGAGAGAGAGAAGAAAAGCAAAGCTGAGTGTAGTGGTACACTGCTGTAATCTCAGCATTCTGGAGGATCACACATTCAAGGCCATACTGGGCTACATAGGAAGACCCTGTAAAAAGCTTCAAGCAAAGATAATGAATCAGGAATATTGGTGGAGTGGATGACAGGCAATATTTATTAAGTCATGCCAGGCACTTGTTTAGGTGCTTGACAAAATTGAGTCTTTATTATAAGTACCTAATAGTGTACTAAGAGTGAGCACTCTTAGGAGTGTTACCTCTTATTGACAACTCATTTTTTAAATTAATAGACCGTTCTTAAAAAACAGATTAACAGAGAAATCGAGCAGATAGCACGGAACTCCATATACGCCCTCCAGTTTCCCCTGTTAGCATTTTGCATTAGTATGATTCGTCTCTTAAAATTCATGAGCCGATGCTGGTATCTTATTTTAACCACAGTCCATAGGTTTTGCACATTTCCTTAGTTTTTACTTAATACTATTTTCTGTCTCTGGATCCCATTCAGAACACCACATTATGCTTAGCTGGTGTGTATCCTTAGGTTTCACTTGGGACTGTGACAGTTTCTCAAGCTTTCCTTGTTTTTTATGACCTTGGCAGTTTGGAGAAGTGATGGGCAGGTATGTTGTAGGGTACCCCTCTTTTGAAATGTGTCTGATGGTTTTCTCATGATGAGACTGGAATTACCAGTTTTGGAGCTGAAACTCACAGAGGTAAGGTGCTGTTTTCATCCTGTCATGTTGAGGCTGCCTGTATCAACTTTTTTTTTTTTTAAGGAGCTATTTATAAAATAGTTTGCAGGTAAAAGAACACTCAACATCACGTGTGAAGAAATTCACATACATGCACACAATAAGCCAGCTCCAAGTTCATGGTTAAGAATTAGGTACATTTCCACTAAAGTGAGTCACAAGGCCAGGTTGCCCATACAACCACATCCATTTACTGTAGTTACATGCCCAGGCATATAAATAAGAAAAAAAGAGGTAAAACATGGGAAAGTGCATGTAAAAATATGGTATTAAGATGGTAGCAGTTATCAACATGATTTTTGACTGTTGGTGTTGACCTCAATGACCTGGCTATAGCAGTGTGGCTTTTCTACTGTGATGTTATTTCCCTGCTTCTGTTAGAAGACTAACTGAAATTTTCACACTCACAGACAAAAACTCAAGGGAAGAAAAGCCCAGCATCCAATGTGACTTCCTTTGCTTCTTTAAAACAAGTCTTGAATGCCTCTGTGTTCACATCCTTTCCTTATACCTGGCCAGGCCTGCCTGCCACCACTCTATTCAAAGTCCACAGTGAATTCCCAGAACTGGCATCCACTTATGCCTTTACACCTTCTATTGCTTATCTCGAGAATGGCTTCTCCTTTCCTTTCTAACCATCTGACTCATGCTTGCCTTTGAAGACTTAACCAGAAAGTTCTGCTTCACCTATGAAACCTTCCTGGAACAGCCGAATCCGTTTCTGAATTCTAAATGATATTAGGTGTTGCTGTCCCTCCCTTCCCAGTTACATCTGTGTTGTACGGGACCTCCTTTTGCTATGGGGAAAAATGAAGTTTGTTATAAGCATTTGGATTTGCTCTCAGTTCAAGGGCTAATAGACAAAAAAAAATTAAGACTCATAAAGCCCACAGACACTGTGGTGTACACCTGTAGTCCTGGCACTTGGAAAGCTGAGGTGGGAGAATCATTTGAGCCTAGGAGTTTAAGCCCAGTCTGGACAACATAGGAAGAGACCCCCATCTCAAACATAAAAGAGAGAAAGAAAAATGAATCATAGCCAGTATCTGTAAAATGAAAAGGTAAATTTTAGGAATGATATTATCCTTGACAGTTCTGCTTTTCTGTGTCTTATCACAAGTCTAAATGTGTTGTTTCATTGCTTGTGTTTGATGAGAAATTTCTACAGTGAGAAGGACACAGGAAGAGGACAGAATGACAGAAACCAAGTGTGGGGCTCCTGAGATGGCCCATGGGACATGATGGGAAATGGGCCTTTTGAGGTGGCTCTGCCTTGTGCAGGAGACTTCATACATGGCATGGAGTCCAGGCCGGATTAAATTCACATAGGAAAATACTCTCTGCTCAGAGCCAAACTTGCTAGCAGAAAGATTTTAAGGATACCTGAATTTTTCCCCTACCAGCCAGTTCCTTTCTTTGGTGGAACTGAGTTCATGTGAGACATGCCAGTTCCAAATTCTTCTGTTCTTTTAGGTTTGCTGGTTGGCTCCAGAACAGACAGCAGGAAAGAAGAAGCCCTTTGTCTATACCCAGGGTCAGGCTGTCCTAAACCGGGCCTTCTTCCCTTGTTTCGACACTCCAGCAGTGAAATGCAAATATTCAGCTCTTATTGAGGTAAGGAGACTAAGGTTAGGTACCTTTAGGATTATGAATAGAATTTCAAACCAGGCACCTGTGGCTCATGCCTATATAGCTACTTAGGAGGCTGAGGTTGGGAGGTCCGGGTTCAAGGCCAGCAGAGGAAATGATTTGAGAGATTCCATCTCCAAAAATAACAACCAGAGCAAAATGGACTGGAGGTGTATCTCAAGTGGTAGAGTGCCTGCTTTGCACGTATAAAGGCCTGAATTCAAACCCTAGTCCCACCAAAAAGCTCACTCCTGCAGTCCCAACTACCTGGGAGGCAGAGATTGGAGGCTCTCAGTTCGTCAGCCTAGGCAAATTTAGCAAGAATCCATCTCAGTCAGTAAGCCCAGACTGGACTGTGGCTCAAGTGGCAGAGCACCTGCCTAACAAGTCAAAGCCCTGAGTTCAAACCCCAATACCACCCAAAAAAAAAAAAAAAAAAACCTTCTCAATATCAATCAATAAACCCATTGTACAGGCACAATCTATAATCTAGCTACATGGTAGCAAGATTATGGTCAGAGGCTGACCCCAGACAAAAAAAATCCATGATCATGGCCCTACCTGAAAAATAGAGCAAAAAAGGGCTAAAGGGGTGGCTGAAGTGGTAGAGTGCCTGCCTAGCAAGCGAGAGGCCCTGAGATCAAAGTTTGGTGCCACCAAAATATATATATATATTCAAACTGGGCATGGTGGTGCACACCTGTAATTCCAGCACTCAGTAGGCTGAGGCAAGGATTGTGAGTTCAGGGCTAGCCTGGGCTACCTAGTAAGAGCCTGTCTCCAAAAACCAAAACAACAATAATAATTTCAGATTAATCAGCTCACATTTGAGTTGGTAAGTTATCTCTAACCAGTGGTACCTCTGAAAGATTCTTTTTCTTTTCAATTCTTCCATCTACAGAATTTTTTTTTTTTTTTTGGCAGTACTGGAGTTTGAACTCAGGATGCTTTATCTCTTGAGCCACATCTTCTAGCCCAATCTACAGAAATTTAAATAGCCTTCTAAATCCCATTAGTTTAGCTAAGGTTTAGTCTTTTGAATCTTTTGTGTTCTTCAGGATGTATGCTGGGTCATTATTTTTGCCATGCAGGTTGCTGGTCTTCAAACTAGAGTCCAGATAAAATTTCCTATACTTTCTCTGTTGCCAGGTCCCAGATGGCTTCACAGCTGTGATGAGTGCAACCACCTGGGAGAAGAGAGGTCCAAATAAATTCTTCTTTGAGATGCGCCAGCCCGTCCCTTCCTATCTGATAGCTTTGGCCATTGGAGATCTGGTTTCGGCTGAGGTTGGACCCAGGTAAAAAACAAAGACCCGAGGCAAGATTAATCCCAGAGGCAAGGAGGCATCTGAGCAGGAGACCTGATGAGGTATATCTAGGACAGTGCAGGACCCTTTGGCTGACATCCGGAGCCCTTCTGCAGGGAGAAGCATGCAGTATGAGTATAGATGGTGGAGGGGCTCATCTTTTCCCTTCCTTGCCCTCCCTCCAGTTCCAATTCAGCTATCTGGATCACCAGTCCTGCTGGCATAGCAGTAGCTGCTGACCTGAGCCACCTTGCGGAGTGGTGGTGGAGCTTAGGTGGCAGCCTTAGAAAATTGATCTTCATACTATCTTCAAGTTCTAAATGCTCTTGTTGCAATTATATTTGGTTTTTGGTGGTACTGGGGTTTGAGCTCAGGGCCTTAAGCTTGCTAGTTGTGTGCCCTAGCACTTGAGCCAGTCTACCAGCCCTTGTGTTGGTTATATTTTAAATAGGATCTTCCTTTATGCTTGGACCAAGATCCTCCTATTTGTGCTTTCCTGTGTAGCTGTGATGACAAGCGTGTGCCACTGTGTCCAGCTATTGGTTGAGATGGGGGACTCACAAACTTTCTGCTCAGGCTGGCCACGAATGCAGATCCTCTGATCTTCACCTCCCAAGTAACTAGGATTATAGGCTTGAGCCACCTTGCCCAGCCCAAATCTTCCCATTTTTCACTGGCACTTAATTCCAGTAAATATAATACCTTTGATCTCATTATTTCACTGTAGAGAGAGAAGAGTACTCTCCTTTCTGTCTGCTGCAAGTGCATTAACCTAAAATTATGGTGACATGATTCACCCACGAATTGGATGGTGTTAGTGGAAACAGAAAAAAAATTGTGCGAGTTAAGAAATTTGACCAAGAGCCAGGCACGGTGATACATGCCTGTAATCCCAGCACTCAGGAGGCTGAGGCAGGAGGATCCTGAGTTCCAGGCTAGCCTGGGGTACATAGTGAGACCCTGTCTCAAAAAAACAAGAAATTTGGGAATGTATGTTTTTCTGGCTGTCACATTATCCACCAGTACAGCTTAATCCTGCTGTGAGCCAGAGGCCCTTTTCCTGGCTGTGTTACTTTTCCTTATTTATCTCAGTTCCTGGAAGTGGAGGTGTCTTCCATAAGGTGTTATGTACCTCACACTTCACAATTGGCCTCCGAAGCTCTGCTGGTGTCACAAATCTTAGTTCCTGGGTGTCAGGTGGAATAATAGTGGGATTACTTGGGTATCTGCTTCTAGCACGCACATTCAAAACAAGGTGTTATCTTGTCCTAATAGGCAGAGCCATAGAGAACCTGTCATCTTTGCAATAGATAGGGAAATAGATGTGAAGGATTGTGGTTTTGAGAATGTGTTCATCCTCACTAAGATTCTGTTAGTGAGTGTGGCATGTCCAAGGGCAGTAGGAGAACAAGAGCAGATTCTAACCATACTGAGTGACAATGGTTCCCTTGATCCCTCTGTAAGGAAATGACAACAGTATGTCAAACTGGTGATAGTGACTTACTCCTTCCCCCGTTAGTCCTTGCATCTTGGATCACATCTTCGGGTCACGTGGGGCATGTTAAAGGAAGCATCTTCTGGCAAAATGTGTTGCCTGGCCCAGGCCTGGCACACAGGAGGAGGACCCTGGGTAGAAGCGGGCTGTAGATGTAGCTCGGTAGGCTCTTGTGCGTATGACCTCTTCTAAACATCACCCAGACTCAGTGAGTGATACGGTGTCCATTTGTAGATGAACAAACCACGGCTCTGGTCAAAAGGGCTATGCAGGCAGATCACCAGCCTTGGCTCCAGGAGCCCTGAGTTCTGAGGTCAGCTCGTCCGTGGAGCGGACGAAGTGCCTTGGCGAGTCCTTAGCCTCTCAGCCTTGGCTTTCTGTTGGGTTGGGCTTCTTGGAGCTTTGTTTTTGATTCTCTAACTTTTTATTATGAAATTTTCAAATGTGCACAAAATTGAAAGGTCCATTGAACACCTGTATATCCACCCACTTTGTCATAGTAGTTTTACTTATGTGCAGATTTATTTTTGTTTGAGATCTTGTAAAAGTAAATAAATGAGCCAGGTATCAGTGGCTTACGCCTGTAATCCTAGCTACTTGAGAGGTTGCGATCAGAAGAATCTTGACTTGAGGCCAGCCAGGGCAAATAGTTCATGAGACACGCCCCCCCCATCTCCAAAATAACCAGAGCAAAAAAAATGGACTGAGATAGACTGCCTGCTTTTGCTCAAACCCCAGTCCCACACAGAAAAAAAAGTAAATCAGAGTGCCTCTTTGAAGAATAAAGATGGTCTCCCTTTAAAAATAAACGAACGAATGAATTAATGAAATAAATAAAAATTCACATGGGTCAGACTGAAGAAGCCCAAAGTACTTTGGGCTGGCAGAGTGGCTCAAGTAATAAAGTGCCGGCTTAGCAAGTGTGAGGCCCTGAGTTCAAACCCCAGTACTGCCAAAAAATTAAATAAAAATTCACATGAAGGTGGTCTCCTTTATTGTGAAGAATTTAAAAAAAAAAAAGACTGTGGACATGGCTCAACTGGTAGAGCACTTGCCTAGCAAGCACAAGTTCCTGAGTGCAAATTCCAGTATCACAAAAAAAAAAGAATAAAGACAATACCGTTATTGTACCTAATAAGACAACTAGCAGTTTTCTATTGACATTTATTTGTTTATTTTGGTGCTATCGGGTTTGAACTCAGGACCTACACTTGTTAGGTAAAAACTGTACCACTTGAGCCACATCCCCACCCCTTTTTGCCTTGGGTTATTTTGTAGAGAGGATCTTCTGCTTTTTGCATAAGACTTCCCTCAGACCATGATCCTCCTACCTCTGCCTCCTGTGTAGCTAAAATTATAGCTGTGCACTACGATGCCTGGCTTGTTCATTGAGATGGGGTCTTGCTAACTTTTTGCCCAGGCTGACCTTGAACCTCCATGTTCCCAATCTCTGCCTCCCAAGTAACTGTGATTACAGTCATGAGTCACCTTATTCGGATATTTGTTTTTGTTTTGTTTTGTTTTTTTGAGTTGGGGGTTCAAGTCCAGGCTCTGCCTCATACTCCCAAGTGTTGAGATTACAGGCATGCACCCAGCTTAATAGGTTTGTCTCTTAATGTTCTTTTTTTTTTTTCCTCCCCTTTTGGTTTTTCAGATAGGTTCTCACTATGTAGCCCAGGCTCACCTTGAACTTATGATCCTCATATTTGTGCCTCTCAGTGCTGGGATTATAGACATGAACCACCACATTCAGTTTGTCCATCTCCCACCACCCCCATGCTGGGGATAGAACCCAGGGCCTTTGTATATGCACAGGCAAACAAATGCTGTAACCCTGAGCTACATCTCCAGCTTCTTAAGGCTCTTTTCAACTCCAAAGATTCTATCAGAATTCTTAATTCATCCATTCTGTAAATGGAAAGAAGGAAACTAACATTTCTGTATGTCACTGTATGAGGCCTTTGTATGTTGTCTTACTTAATCACTCATGTAACAGATAAAGGAACTGAGGCTCAAAGAGGTTAAGTAACTTATTCAAGATCACAGTCTTCCAGCACTGTTGGTTTAGATGCTGTTGCTTAGAGGAGGCGTTGCCACCTCCCAGAGGCTGTCTTGGGTCCTTATACCCAGGTGTGGTGAGCAGCCTTGGGTCTGTGCAGGTGATCTGACCTTGCATCTCCTTCCTCAGTGGCTAGCCACATTGTCACATTCATTTGGCTCAAATATGAGACCAAAGCCGGTTTTCTGCAGGTGTTTTTGGACTTGGGTCACTGTGGTGATCTGTAAATGCCCCTCTGCCTTTTTTCAGGAGCCGGGTGTGGGCAGAGCCCTGCTTGATTGAAGCCGCCAAAAAGGAGTACGACGGGGTGATAGAAGAATTCCTGGCAACAGGAGAGAGGCTTTTTGGACCATATGTGTGGGGAAGGTGTGGTATCACGCTGACAGAAGTGATTGTTAAACCGAGTCCTTGCTTTCCACTCTCCCTTATGGCACTGCTTCTCTTCCTTCTGTCTCGCAAAGCAAATTTTCTCTGATCCCAGAAGCAAAGGAGAGGAGGAAGGGATGAGCCAGGTTCCTCATGGTTGCTGCCAAGTTAGAAGTGGGCCTTTGTTGACTTGCCTTTCCTCCTTGTCAGAAGTTATCTCCCACTCCCTTTTGTCCTTCCACATCTTCAGACTTTTGGCTTCTTGATGCAGGGCTGGTCTTTATGGTCCCAAGTTGGCCTCCATTGAGCTAAGTGTGCTAGAGCTGAGGCCATGCTTGGAGGAGAGAGACAGAGGCCCTGAGCTGCCTTACAGCAAACACTACCTGGGTGAGGGAGGCCCCAAGGTAGGAGAGCTGCCTGGGCAGGACCAAGGGGCTGAGCTGCATCTTCAGCCCTGGGCCCAGGATTATACTCTGCCTGCATAGTGGCCATGGCTGAGGGCTTAAAGGAGGATGGGAAGGCCACTTGGGGGAAGTTAGCTTTGCTCTGGGGAGCCAGGACCTCTTGTGACCCCGGTTTCTCTGCAGGTATGACTTGCTCTTCATGCCCCCTTCCTTTCCATTTGGAGGAATGGAGAACCCTTGTCTGACCTTCGTCACCCCCTGCCTGCTAGCAGGGGACCGCTCCTTGGCTGATGTCATCATCCACGAGATCTCCCACAGTTGGTTTGGGAACCTGGTCACGAATGCCAACTGGGGGGAGTTCTGGCTCAATGAGGGCTTCACCATGTATGCTCAGAGAAGGATCTCCACCGTCCTCTTCGGTAAGGTGATGTCCTCCTGGCACCTTGCTCCATTCTTTAGCCAGTGTCCTCCTCTGGGGATTCAGGCTACAGGTGTGTGTGAAGGGAGGAAGTAGCTGTGCAGAATCTCAGGCAAATGGCCATAGAGGGTTAAAGCATTGTTCGTTTGGGCTTTTTTTTTTTGTAGTACTGGGTTTGCACTCAGGGCCTTGAACATGTTAGGCAGGCGCTGCACCACTCAAGCCCTGTCTCCAGCCCGTCATAAGCCCTGGTTTAAATAAATCGCTTTTACTCCACTACATGCTAGTAAAATCAGTTCTGGCTCTAGCTTATGTTGAGTGAGTAGATTGTGAACTCATAGTGACAGTGCCCCTCATCTAAGCTGAGGTAACACACATTGCTTCTCCCTGAGCCAGACATAATCCTGGGGTACATGCCCAGGTTGTTTATCAGGTGAGTGGTTAGTTTATGAATGAATCATCATAAGAATATTATCATTGATGAGTATATTGGTGTACCCCTATAGTCCCAGCACTTGTGAGGTGGAGGAAGGAGGATCGTGAATTTGGGGTCAGCTTGGGTTATACAGCAAGATCCTATCTCAAAGAAAACTGGTTGTCATTATCTTTTACTGAGCATCCCTGCTCTGACTTTGTCATAGGTACCTTATAAAAGTACATCATTTAACAATTAAAGAATAGTCCTATGAAACATATTATTAATTCCATTTGGTATGAGTTCACTACAACTCAAAGAGTGCCCAAGCCAGTTAACAGATGAGAGAAGAACTCTAATTGAGCCCAGGTGTGCTTTAAAAAAAACTTTACACTCTCTTATTAATGAGAGGCCATTATGTATCACATGCTTTAAAAAGTGTAACATTTTAAAATTACACTTTAAAATGCATGTTTATAATCCCAGCTATTTGGAAGGTGGAGATAGGAAGATGGTGAGTTTTGAGGCCAGACGGAGCAAAAGATTTTATTTAGCAAGACCCTACCTCAAAAATAAAAGTAATATTTATTATCATTATTATTTTCTTTGATCAAAATCTATTTGACATATCGGGAAAAGCACAAAAAGGAAGAGAAATTTTATCCATAATCTCAGTAGTCAGGGATAATCAATGTGTATCCTTTCTTTTTTTTCAGTGGTACTGGGGTTTGAACTCAGGGCCTCATGCTTGCTAGGCAGGGACTTTACTGTTACTCTGCCAGCCCTTTTTTTGTGTTGGGTATTTTTTAGATAGTGTCTTGCTTTTTCCTCTGGGATAGCTTCCTGGTCTCTGCCTCCTGAGTAGCTAGGATTACAAGTATGAGCCACTAGCACCCAGCCAATGTATATCCTTTCAGTTTTCTGTGTGTATGAATGATCTAACCATGCATGCTTTTATAAGTGTCTTTTATTAGCTTAATAAAGTTTGAAAGAGTTTTAGAACTTTTTTATTAAGTTTAATAAAGTCCATCATTTTTCCTAAGTCATTAAATTATCTTCCACCTGGGAACATAGTTCAGTAGTAGAGTGTTTGTCTAGTACATGCAAAGTACTGGGTTCCATACCTAGCATTGCAAAAGAAAAAGAAAAACAGTTTTTTCTTTTATCTCTGCATAGACTGGGCATTTCATGATTTATTTAGTCAGTCTACAGTTGATAGAGAGGCTCTTTCCAATTGTCCATTAAAGGATTTTTTTTTTTTTTTTTTTTAAAGTGGGACTCGAGTATGAACTCAGGGCTTCACACTTGCAAAGCAGGGACTCGACCACTTGAACCACACCTCCAGTCCATTTTGCTATGGTGATTTTGGAGATAGGATCTCATGAACCATTTGCCCAGGCTGGCCTCAAACCACCACCCTTCCAATCTCAGCCTTCCAAGTAGCCAGGATTACAGACATGAGCACTGGCGCCCAGCTTTCAAGGCCTTTTAGTATCCATTGTCCCTTACCTCCCAGAAAGTTTGTACAAATTTTTACTTTCATTCATAGTATATACAGTAAGAACCTGTTTGCGAATATCTTAATCAGCTAAGGATCCTGAAATAAATGATGTTCTCCCATTATACAGATGAAGAAACAGACTGAGAGAGACTCAGTCAGAACATCTAGTAAGTGGCTGAGCTAGCTGTTTTTAAAACCTGGTCCCCAACTAGGAGCTTGGTTTAAGAGGTTGTATGAGGCTCTGGGTTCAGTCCCCAGTACCACAAAAAAAAAAAAAACCAAACTAAGCCAAAAAAACCAGTCCTCTTCCCCTCCACTGTTCCCTCAGTTATTAAAGCCAGCAGGAGACTTAGAGACCTTTAACATTTTTGAAGGTGACAATTTGTTTGACACCAACAGCTGGATGGAAAAAAATTTTTTTTTTTTTTATTTGCAGTACTAGTGTTTGAATTTAGGGTCTTATACTTGCTAGGCAGTTGTTCTATCACTTGAGCTACTACCCCAGCCCAAAATATGTGGATTTGTTTTGTTTTGTTTTTTTGGTGGTACTGGAGTTTCAACTCAGGGCCTCACATTTGCTAGGCAGGTGCTCTACTCCTTGAGCCACTCTGACAACCCCAGATGAAAAATAATTTCAAGGTTTCATAGGAGACCACATTGTTACCTAAAAAATTAACAGGGAAAGGGAATTGCAGGGAGAAGGTGTGGTTCCCCAAGTCCTCATGGAAGAGAGACCTGCAGCCTCTTTATCCAAGTTCTTTGTAGCCCAGAGACAGCTAGCTAGCAGCTAAGCCATTCAGTGACGCTGTTTGCCCTCCTCCTCCCAGAAAGATAATGGTAGTGAGTCTCATGCCACAAGGGGGCAGCACAGTGCCTTCTATCAGGAAAGTGCACTTGTGGTGACAAAGTCTTGGGGTTTGTGGTTTGTTTTTGGCCCAGGGGCTGCTTATACCTGCTTGGAGGCTGCAACGGGCCGGGCTCTGCTGCGGCAGCACATGGACATCACGGGAGAGGACAACCCGCTCAACAAGCTGCGGGTGAAGATTGAACCAGGTCCAGGAGGCTCCTCTAGTCTTCCCCTTCCCCTTAATTGGCTTGGAGCCCCAAGTTTGTCCAAGCCTCATATTGATTGGTGCACACTTCAAATACTTCCTTTGAAGGGAGGGGCCGTCAGAGTTCTCTGGCCATTCCCTGGCCTCTAGGCTGAATGAACCCAACCGTGTCAGCTGGACAGAGTTCTAGCCAGCTGTGTGCAGTTCTTAATGAAGTCCTTTTGCACTTGCATGGGTCCATATCATTTTACAGGGTGCTTTTCCATTCCTTTTTTATCATCATGTCAGACCTGTGGGTTCTGCAGGGTGTTAGTCTGTTTTACAGAGGACATACTGAGCACCAGACAGGTTCAGTGACTTGTCCAAGGTCATGCGCCTAGTCAGTTTCCAGTTCAGGGCTCTTTACTGTTTAATATTTTTCTTTCATTCCATGTATGACCAATCTAAAACATTTTTATGGAATTGAGGCTCATGTGTCTTGATGTATCTGACTGTGAAAGTGAACTTCTTGTACACTGGTAATTAGTTTTACTCTAGAACAGTTGTAAAAACAACACCTTATGGGAGGGGAGATTGAGTATACAAGGCAATGACCAACAAGGCTGAAAAAGAAGCCCAGTGTTCAGTCCTAAGAGTCAATGGACCTACCTAAGCAAAGCATGTCCCAAGAATAAGGAAATGTGGCAGTTTCTCTAGAAACTCCATAGTTAGTGGCTCTCAAGATCTTTGAAGTGCTTTGTGAGAAGCCAAGAAATATCTGGAAACTTTCTAGGCCTTGCTATCCCTGGGGCAACTGTGCTGCTGTCTCTTCCAGGGCTGAATCTGGAGCTGGAAAGCAATGAAGGTGGTAGGTTACAGTGCTCAGTGTCTGCTTTCTCCTCTGGCAGGTGTTGACCCAGATGATACCTACAATGAGACCCCCTATGAGAAAGGTTTCTGCTTTGTCTCATACCTGGCCCACTTGGTGGGTGATCAGGATCAGTTTGACAGATTTCTCAAGGTATAGTCAACTCTTCGTTGCGGGAGAAGGACGAGTGCAGATAAAGCAGTGGGCCAGAGAGTGAGGGTAGAGGCAGGGGGCACAAGAGGTAAGGGGCCAGAGAGGGCCTAAGAAAGAAGGGGAATTCTGCTCCCAGGGTGCCCAAAGAGGCTGAAAAGCACCTCCCTTCTCACAGGCCTATGTGGATGAGTTCAAATTCCAAAGTATTGTAGCTGAAGACTTTCTGGAATTCTACTTGGAATATTTTCCTGAGCTGAAAAAAAAGAAAGTGGATTCCATTCCAGGTAAGCAGAGACATGGGCCCACAGGCTTCCAGAACATTGACTCAAAGTCATTTGGTGGGTGACACTTTAAGGAGCAAGCCCAGGACACTAGGATATATTCCACAGAAATGATTTCACTTGGGACTATGGGTATGGCTCAGTGGTAGAGCACATGCCTGGCATGCACGAAGCCCTGGGCTCAATCCCTGGCACTGATGAAAGAAAGACTTCTCTTGATTCTGCTGTGCCTCATTTTCTTGGTTTGTTTCCTTACTCTCCGCCGTCTCCCTTTGGTTTCCTTACACCTGGACCCTTGACTTTGCCTAGAGAGTTCCTGTTGCTGCCACTGTCCAAACTAAAACTCAGGGCAATAGCAGAGGCCACAGCCTCTGCCTTAAGGTCATGGTGGAGCCTCTAGTGCCTTTTGAGCAAAGGAAAATTGCAGTGGCCACCTTGATGTCAGCATGGGAGGTACTGCTTTCTCAGAGAGAGGAGAGAATGTCCTGTTACGGGTGAGACAGTCCATCAGTCACACCCCACACCAGCCTGTGAACTCTGAGTCACTCTCTGGTGGATTTGGTAAAGTCAGCCTTCTCTAGCAGCCAGGATCAGTCAGGCCTTCGTAGCATCTACTCCTTGGTTGAATGCCTGTCTATCAAGGTCATGAAACTGTAGCTAATGAAAGTTAATAATTACTGAGTGCTTACTATGCACCAGGCAGTATGTTAAGCTTTTAATATCTATTTGCTCATTTAATCTTCACAACTGTCATCTAGGTAGGGCCTATCACCCCCATTTTACAGATAAAACTGAGGCACCGAGAAGTGAAGTGCCCATGGCCTCCCAGCTAGTCAGTAGCAGAGCTGGCATGGGAACCCAGGCAGTCCAGTCCTGGGGCCCCAGTGCTTAAGCACAGTGGTGGTGTGTTAATCGAGAGACCATGGACTTGAATACAGCTAGGAAGGTCTCTATCAACTTGGCTCTGATAACACTATGTTAATATTAGAGCAAAAACCACTTTTATCATAAAATGGGCAGTTCAACCTTATTCTGACAGTCACTAGATGTCATCCTAACGGGTCCCACTGGGAAAGTAGTTACGTGGTAAAATGACATTAAGTACAGATAGAGAAGAGTTTGGGGATGGAGAGAGGCAGGGGCTTGAGGTCTCCTGGAGTTGCTTGGGCAAGGTGATGTGGCAAGGAATTCTGACAGTGTCTTCTCTCCTACTTAACAGGTTTTGAGTTTGATCGATGGCTGAATAGCCCTGGTTGGCCTCCCTACCTCCCTGATCTCTCCCCTGGGGACTCGCTTATGAAGCCGGCTGATGAACTAGCTGAGCTGTGGGTAGCCACAGAGCTGGACACACAGGCCATTGAAACAGTGGCCATCTCGACCTGGAAGACCTACCAGCTGATCTACTTCCTAGATAAAATCCTCCAGAAATCTCCACTCCCTCCTGGTAAGAGAAAGTGGCTTATTTCTTCCAGTACTAAGTCAAGGCTCTTTGTGTGGGGAGCTTTATATCAGGGCCAGAGGGAACTCAGAAAAGTTGAGATCTTGTCCCTAGGTGATGCCAGGTGTGGTAGGGAGCTTGGCACTTTACAAGTAACATGTTGTCAGAAGCAAATAGGTTACACATGTAAGTCCCATGGGAACCAAATAACAAAGCCTGGCATTCATCAGGTCCCCAGGTTCTGCAGGCACTTTGTAAGCTCTGTGTATCTACTGGGTTGAAGGAAGTGCTGTGGTTTTAATCCCTAGGTACAGAATGAACTTGAGGTACCAGTAGGTCACATAGCTGGTTGGGCTAGGGTTTGAACCTAGTCATCCAAAACTCTTTGCCATTGCTGCTTAATCAGAAATAATATTCACCAAGGAGGGAAAAAAAGTTAAAGCCCAGGTGAATTTAGCAGGTTAAGTTAGAGAAAAAGTGGGGAAGGATATTTTATGGGATACAGGTACATAAATCCAAGAAGGAAAAACAGGAGAATCATAAGAAAAGAACAAAAATCTGTAATAATTATAAGGGACATTTAGTGGAAGAGCCTTAGAAATTAAGGTAAATGGAATAGTAGAACATTACCATTCCAGAGTGTAAAATGGACAGAATGAATGGTACAGTGGGTGGGTGGCAGGGACCTTCCTGAAGTGTCTTCCCAGTTCTTCTGTCTGCCAGAGGGCAGGCATTCATTGTCCTCGAGAATGAGACTTCTGTAGGCTTCACCTAACAACCCACTATTTTTCCTTTTTCAGGGAATGTGAAAAAACTTGGAGAGACATACCCAAAGATTTCAAATGCCTATAATGCTGAGTTGCAGCTACGATGGAGCCAAATTGTCCTGAAGAATGACTACCAGGAGGATTTCTGGAAAGTAAAGGAGTTCCTACAAAGCCAGGTGGGTGACCCCACCTACCTGTCCCCCACAGGTGGGCTGTGAACCACTCTGCCATAATCAGATGTCCTGTGGGCACAGCTGTGTCAGAGCCTTGCGAGTCTGAGCTACAGAGGAAGGACTTCTGGAGGGCCCTGCTGATCACCTTGTTATGAGTCCTGGAGGCTTTGTCCTGGGGAAAAAAGGAGCCGCAGGCTTGGGATGCTTTTTGCAGATCAGCTGGTGAGGCCGGAGGGAAAAAGCTGGTCAGAGCTAACCCAAAACTGGGAAGGAGGGGAATGTGTAATATGGAGGCTGATCATAGGGAAAACACAAGAGGCCAAAGGACGACAAATGAGCAAAGGGTAAGATTGTATGCTCCTCTCTGGAGAAGCTCGGAGACTTGGGAACAGCTTAGACACCAGCCAGATCCTACATCACCCCGTGAGAGTTGCCCTGTTGGGGAAGGGCTCTTAGATAAACTGAACATCATCAGCTTCTGAGCAGGAGGTGCTGGCTGGATATGGAGCAGTGCTCAGCCTCTCTCATCCATGTGAAGTGGGAGCCACGTGTCTGCTGGAGGTATCCAGAGCCCTCCAACTGCTTCTTCAAGCCTTGGGAGTTTAGGCATTCGTGATGTAGCTGCCCTACAGTTACGTAAACTTGACTTGTGGATTTTCTTTTGCTTGATTGCTCTTGGACCTCTGTAGCCTTGGGTTTTATGTCTGCCATTACCTTTGTGGCTCACCACCTCCAGCTTTCCTAAAGTTTACCATCCCATCATGTCAGCCCATCCACTGGTTTTATAGGGTGTGGATGTCCCTGTTTGTAAACCATGGTAAAACCATGTTTAACCATGGTTTGGGATGCATGTTGATGTTTGTTCCCATGAAGAAGATGCCAGAATCAGCGCTCTTCATTCCACCTCTGATCCCCACATCCCTTTGGCAACTGACTGTGACCACTGTTACAGGCAGGAGGGCTGGGTGGACCTCCTTCCCCCTCCACCCTGGAGCAGGCTACTGAGGACCGTATCCATGTGTCTTACAGGGAAAGCAGAAGTACACTCTCCCACTGTACCATGCGATGGTGAGTGGCAGCGACGTGGCCCAGACCCTTGCCAAGGACACTTTTGCATCCACTGCCTCCCAGCTTCACAGCAATGTGGTCAACTACGTCCAGCAGATCTTGGAGTCCAAGAGTAGTTAGAGGCTCCTGGTCTCTGCCTTGTCAGCCTTCGTGGCTTTCAGAATAACTGTTCCCAGATTCCAGTTCTCCAGGCAGTGACCTTAAGTTTCTGTCCTCTCAGGATTATCTGTTCTCTGGACTTAGGTGCCTCTGCCTCTTGTGCCTCTGCCTCTTGTGCCTCTGCTGTGGTGGGAACTTCTGGCTCACTGAGAACTGAGACCTGAAGTTCTTCCCACAGCTCCCCTCCATGCAGGCTGCTCCCTTGGTGAAAATAGTCTGTCTCTCCCTCCTTCCCACTCAAGTCTCTGGGGAGAGGCAGAGAATTTTTCTTTCTTTTCTTTTTTTCCTTTTTTTAAAAATAAGTGTTTTTCAACAAAAAGTAGGTAAATTGGAGTTAGCAATTAAATGACTATTAAATTTCTTCTGCCTTGGATTTCTTCTGTGTGTTTGGAGAAGGTCACTGGGGAGACCTGAGGAATGGGTGTTTCCCTGTCTTTAGGGAACTGCCAGGCTGAAGAAGGTAGCAGCCCCACACATGACTGAAAAAAAATACATAGCCCTATGGTGTGGCTGTTGCAGGGAACACGTACAAGTGGATAATTACCTTCCATTGCTCTGGGAAAGCAGCTAAATTCCTGTCTACAGCATCGTTTCCATCACAGACACACCCGCATGCAAAAGTGGGTTTTCCTGCCCTCCCTCTACTCTTCCGCTCATCCCTGGGGCTTTGCTCCTGGGTAGCTATTTTAATGGTGTGATAAGTGGTCTGTTCAAGACTTGGCACTAAATTCTGATTTTCCAACTTGAACATTCAAATCTAAGTACCAATACTAAGTTTTGGGACTGGGATGAAGAGGAAGGTTGGAATAAATACCAAATTTAAGGCCAGGCATGGTGGTGCATGCCTGTAATTCCAGCTGCTGTGGAGCTGCAGTCCAAGGGTGCTCAGGCAAAAATTCAAGACTCCATCTGAAAAAACAAGCTAAAAACAAAAGAACTGGGGGTGTGGCTCAAGCGGTAGAGTGTTTACCTAGCAAGATGAGATCCTGAGTTCAATCCTCAAAAAAAAAAAAAAAAAATTGCCTTCTTAAATACAAGGACCCCTGAACCAATCTCAGTACTTGACTTTGTCTTCCCTTCACAGGGGTTGGGAAAGAGCTCCATGTTTGTCAAAGTGAGGAAAGATTAATAACCAAATGGTAGGTAGACAGAGGCGTACCTCTGGCCCATGGTACACTCAAGCCTCATCATCAGAAGGGGCCATAGGATGAAGATTTGGGGACCCAGGATTGGAAGAGCTACTGTGAGTGCTGGCATTTTATTAGCAAACCATTTCTGAGCTATCTCAGGACAATATGTTACAGACATGGACTATTTTAGGGCAGTCCAATTACTGCCCGCTCTCCCTGCCTTGGTATCTATCGGTCTTAAGACCAGTAGCTAGCTTTCCTTTTCCTGTACAAAACCCTATAGCATGAGTGACCCTTGAGTAATGAAGGGTCTCTGGAAGCACTTGCTCTAAAAGCCTTTCTTTGACTCCTCACATTTCACAGCAGGGGCATCCCAGGTCGTAGAGCCTGCCTCACTCACCACTTTTGCTTTGTCAGAGTCCTACAGAGTGTCCTTGTGCTTCTATAGGGCCGGGGGACCGTGCTCCTATCCCACAGGTGAGGCTGTGCTACCTTTGGGGGAATCTCTCTGGGGGAAGGGCAGTGGTCTGCTCTTGACGTGGGCAGTGTTTGGGGCAGGGTGTTAAGAAGCCCCCTTACCTTCTGCTCCATAGCAGAAGTTTGGAACTCTCTCCCCATTCCTCCAAGGCACTGACCTCAAATGTAAGTCTTTCCTACTTTTCTGCCTCCCTGGGCTGTTGAAGGCAACAATACCCAGAGGCTCGGGCTTAGCATCCTAAGCGCCACTGTCCTTTGAAGAAGCCCCATGAAGGCAAGGGCAAGGGAGCTGACGGTTTCTAATTTTCTACACATCCTCCTCTCTAGGCATCAGGGCAGGGAGCACGTGAGCAGCCCTGGGGCTACAAGCTGGTTCTCCCACATTCCAGAACGAGTGACTGGCTAAAGGGTGTGCCTGCCTCAAGCTCCTTGGGCTGGGGAAAAATCCAAGCCAGAGCCCCTGGCTCTCCTGCAGCCCTGACTCAGTGGAGGGCCCCTTCCCCCAGGCACAGTGGTTTTAGAGACACAGAAGATGAGAAACAGATACTTTGAGGGGACTTTGGTCATCCCCGGGCTGTGAAGTTACAGAGGGGTATCTGGAGGCGGACTCGTCTTTTGTTTGATTTAGGGAGAACCACCTGGGGGTTGTAAACAGGGTGGAAAGGAGAGAGACACAGATCCTGCATCTCAGTGGACAAAAAACGAGCTTGGGGCTGGGGAGTAGCTCAGCAGTAGAGTCCTCGCCCAGTGTGCACAATGCTCTGGGTTGGATCCCCCTTGGGGCAAAAATAACCTAAAACAACTAGACCTAGAAAAGACTTTGGGATTATTAAATCCCAACAACCTTGTTTTTGTGTTATTTTTGTTTTGGGGTTTTGAGGCAGAATTTGGTTTTACTGAATTGCCCAGAGTGACCTCAAATGTACTCAGCTTCCAGACTAGCTGGGATTACAGGCATGTACCTTCACATCTGGCACCTCCTTTCAGAAAACAAAACAAAAATGAAGTGCAGAACCCATGTGTCTTGCCCAAGCTCACATAGGTACAACAGTAGAACACAAATCTCTACCTTCTCCTTGCTACCCCAGTACTTCTGCTCAGGGTCCTTAGGGGGTCAGTAGGAGCCAGTCCCTTGTGTTTGGCACTGAGTCCATGGAGAGGACCAGAGCCACACAGGACTCAGGTACAGGAGAAGGGCCTTTCACAGCCTCACCATTTATCTAATTTGCTGTGGCCTGGGCAAGTCACTAAATGGGTACAACTCATTCTGTTAAAAGTGCTTAGTAGGGCTGGGATGTAGCTCAGTGGTAGAGCTCTTGCCTAGCATGTGTGAGGCCCTGGATTTGATTCCAGCACCAAAGAAAAAAGACAAGTGCTTAGTACGAGGAAGTGGGTGGGGGGATAAAAGAGAGTGGTGGAGTAGAGGGTGTGAATTCAAGTATGATGTAGTCTGTACATTGTAAGAACCTTTGTAAATAAAGGGGGAAAAAGCGCTTGGTAAATAGTAAATACCACGCATTCCCTTTTCTTAGAATGATAGGGCTTCTGACCACTAGAGGGCAGCAGTCAGACACTGGCGAACAGGGATCAGAGGGAGGACGGACAGAAGCCCATGAACATATCCTTGTGGATTCCAGCACCTCCAGCAGCCCCTAGGCTTGGAGCGCTCCATAAAGCATGGAGGGAAGAATTTAGAAGGGCCAGATTTTTCCAGAAGTGGCAGCAGCAACCCTAAAGCTTAAATGGGGCAGAGAGTGCTAAGACCTTGCCTGTAAAGTAGATGCCAGCAAAGGTCTCTGGCTGGAGACCCTGGGGCCCAGGGGTAGGCTGGTGGACTGCCCCATGCCTATTAATGAATATTGCCTAACGAGGAGCCTAGAGTCTTTCAGCCTGCACCCCAAATCTCTAAACTCTAGTAACCTTTTTTTTCTAGGTGACTTTGTCCCCAGATCACCAGACAGTTAGGGGCAGCAGCCTTTCTGATCTAGTTCAGCCAGGGGTTCAGGTTCTCCCATTTACCTTTCCCCCTCCCTAGCCCATCCCTGGCCTGGCCCCCATGAAGAATTTCCTGAGCCAGAGGGTGGTAGAAAGCACTGATGCCCACCCCAGCAATGTTCCCGCCACCTGCCCAGTCCAGTGCCCTGGGCCCAACCCTAGAGGGTGCGGGATGACAGACTCTGACAATCATTAAACCAGCCAGGCCTGATTTCCCAGCACCGCCTGCTAGGATCTGGGCCAAGTGGCACAGAATATGCAAATCACCTAGGGCCAGGAGCCCAGTCTGAAGGCCAGGAAATCCCCTCTATCCAATGAGCCAACAGTTCAGGTTACCACCGGGAGGCACACTCAAGGCCTGGGTGTGGGGAGGAGCTCCCGCTCGGGTTTATTTAGGGCGGGTGGGGGAGCAAAGTGGCCAGACTCCTCACTGCTACCTGGCGGAGCTCTCCGCCACCTGGATTTCTTCCCCACCTGGGGCCTTTGAAGCTTGCTGGTCCACCTGCTTACATCTGAACCCAGACACTCGGTAGGACTCCTAGATGTCACATTCCCAGCCTTGGGAAAATGGGGAGGGGTCTAATGGATTTGCAATTCTGGACCTGCCTGGAATCTCCCAGTGGGAGTGTAGGACAATGGCGGTGTCCTGAGGGTAGTGGAGCTGACATATTGTCTCTAGGAGTGACAGAGTGGTCACCTCTGTTCAAGGATCTAGATCTAAAGAGAGTCAGCAGGAGAGTCTAGTGACCCCACCTCACCCTTTGTTCGATTGAGTTCTAGGGCCTCTTTTTTTTTTTTTTTTTTAATTTTGAGACAGGGTCTAGCTGGGTTGCCTAGGCTTGTCTCAAAACTCTTGGGCTCACAAGATCCTCCCACCTCAGCCTCCTGAGTAGCTGAGACTAGCGGCTTGCCACTACACTCAGCTCTTAGCAGGCCCTTCTTGAAGAGACGGTGTCCACAGAGATACCAGCCTTCCTGTCTTTTGGGGCTACTCCTGCCCAAAATAGAGTAGTCAGGAGTGTAAAAAAAAGAACCCTCATGTCCTCACCAACTTTGTACCCTCTCCCCAGGTAGCCTCATGGCTGCAACCTGTGAAATTAGCAACATTTTTAGCAACTACTTCAGTGCTATGTACAGCTCAGAGGACCCCACCCTGGCTTCTGTTCCCGCTGCTGCCACCTTTGGAGCTGATGACTTGGTGCTGACCCTGAGCAACCCCCAGATGTCGCTGGAGGGTACAGGTGGGTAATGTGGGATGGGGTGCCTGAAGGAACAGAGAAAACCTCTTGGATGCATGGTGGAATGGATAGGATAGGTCTCCAAGCAAATTCCTGGGCTAGGGCCGAGGAGACTTTATATTTTGTGGTGCTGGGAATGAAATCAGGGGCCTGGTGTGTGCTGGGCTGACACCCTACCACCAAACTACAGCTCCATCCTGAGCGGGGGTTGTGGGGACTGTGACCCAGCTGAGTGAGGAACAAGGACCAGAGGTGTTGAATACCGCCTCTGGCCCCTGCTCATGAGAGGGCTTTCAGAGGGGTAAGGTGGAACCACGCACAGGATCCCCAAGGGGTGCTGGAAATGGGGCCTGTGCTGACCCCACTGATGTGGCTCACGCAGAGAAGGCCAGTTGGTTTGGGGAGCAGCCCCAGTTCTGGTCGAAGGCCCAAGTTCTGGACTGGATCAGCTACCAAGTAGAGAAGAACAAGTATGACGCCAGTTCCATCGACTTCTCGAGGTGTGACATGGATGGGGCCACCCTCTGCAACTGTGCCCTTGAGGAGCTGCGTCTGGTCTTTGGGCCTCTGGGGGACCAACTTCATGCCCAGCTGCGGGACCTCAGTGAGTCCAGGCTATGGGTGCCACAGGGAAGCCAGGGAGTGGAGGGGAGCGTTGGCCCTGGGTAGGACCAGGAGCTCTGGGCTGGAGAGGCAGGTGCAGCCAGAGAGAGCCCCTGGGAGATACTGGGACTGTGACCCTCCTTCCCTCTTCCAGCTTCCAACTCTTCTGATGAACTCAGCTGGATCATTGAGCTGCTGGAGAAGGATGGCATGGCCTTTCAGGACACCCTGGAAGACCCAGGTCCCTTTGGTGAGAACGCACTTTCTTCATCGTTTCCCAGCTTGTCCTATCCTGTCCCATGGCTGTCCCTTCCCAGAGTGCTAGAAACCACTCCTCCCAGACTTCTTCCTCTTCCAGCTAGAAAAATCCCAAGAACCAGTCCTCAGACCCCCTATGCAGCCTTACTTGTCCTTGCCACCTGAGCCTCTCTGAGCTCTCACCTCCCCTTCGCAGACCAGGGAAGCCCTTTCACCCAGGAGCTGCTGGACGATGGCCGCCAGACCAGCCCCTATTATGGCAGCAGTTATGGCACAGGAGCCCCATCCCCTGGCAGCTCTGATGTCTCCACCGCAGGTGAGAGTCCTGTCTGGGCCACAGCCTCCCTCCCCCAGAATGCCTGGATCCTCTAGCAGGGTAACATGTCCTGAGGGCTGCCAGCCCTGTGTGGCAGCAGGTGGGCTGGCCCAGGCACTCACACTGACCTGTTCCCCAGGAACTGGCACTTCTCAGAGCTCCCACTCCTCAGACTCCGGTGGAAGTGATGTGGACCTGGACTCCACTGATAGCAAGATCTTCCCCAGAGGTGAGTCCAGGGTAGCTCCTGGTGTGTCATTCCACAGTGCCCCCTCCCTGCTCTTTGACAGGTTTTTGGTAGGAGAGCAGCTCTCCCCCAGTGACCACCTCTCACCTTCTCTTAACTTCCCACTCCTTCCTAGTAGATGGCTTTCCTGACTACAAGAAGGGGGAACCCAAGCACGGGAAGCGGAAACGAGGCCGGCCCCGAAAACTGAGCAAAGAGTACTGGGAGTGCCTGGAAGGCAAGAAGAGCAAGCATGGTGAGCTCAGGGGCCACGGCTGCAGGAGGTGGGGGTCGGGGGCAAGGTGAAAGAACTTGGTATTTCTTCTGTTTCCTTGGGCCTCTCACAGCCACCCTCCTTTCATTGCTGCTTGCACAGTGGGGAGGGCTCATTGCAGAGGCTGACTTGGTGGTCCTGGAGAGAAGGAGAAAGTGAGGCTTCTGAAGGAGGCCTATGGCACAACGAGAGTCTACCCACTGTAGTTCTCTGTGCACTTGGCCACTGTCCTCCCCACTAGAACACCTTGGTGGGTACATAGGTGGGCTGGTCAGAGACCAAGGTGGGCTGAGACTCCAGGCACCAGCCTGCTGAGGACAGGCAGGGCCCTCAGGCATTGTGTGCTCCAGCTGCTCTGAACCACTTGGAGGACACCCTGAGGATTTTTTTTGCCCCTCCTCTCTCTCTCGCTCTCACACACACACATGCATGCACGTATGCACTTCTCACAGCCTGGTTTTCTTCTTGTCCTGAGGGGTTTCTTTTCTCTTGTCCCCCAGGCTGGGGCCAGTTCTCTGTGGCCTTACTTGCTAAGTTCTCCCACCTGATGGTATGTTTCTTTCCCTGTGGCCCCATTGACCTGTGAATCCCTCAGGTGGTTATGTGTCTCAGTCACTATCCACTCCAGCCAGGTGTTTGATCAGTATTGCCACGAGTGAAACACCTGTGCTGTGTAAGCCAGGTCCTATGAAGGGGCAGGCAAAGAGGGAAGCAGCCAGCTACAGTGCACACTGGGATGGCATTGCTAGGGGCTCCTTCTGCACAGTGTGCTGCAATAGGAAGGGCTGCTGACCTGGGTGAGGGGAATGCCCTGGACTGCTAACTGAGGGAATTGGCCTCACAGCCCCCAGAGGCACCCATCTGTGGGAGTTCATCCGAGACATCCTCATTCACCCTGAGCTCAATGAAGGCCTCATGAAGTGGGAGAATCGGCACGAGGGTGTTTTCAAGTTCCTGCGCTCCGAGGCCGTGGCTCAGTTGTGGGGCCAAAAGAAAAAGAATAGCAACATGACCTATGAGAAGCTGAGTCGGGCCATGAGGTAAATTGGTGGCTGGGGACCCCTGTGATCAGACTGGATACCGAGGGACCTGACTGGATGATCTGTCCAGGGCTGTTTGTGCTCCCCTGTTCTCCAACTACTACCACGCTTCATGCGACAAGTGTGAGTCTTGCGGAGTGAGGACAAGAGGCAGTGTCAGCCTACCTGGTGGATCAAGTATTAGCCAGGCATGTCAGGAGCACAGCCAACTTCTGCTGACAGTAACATTTCTGTGTGTGATCTGTGAGACTTGTCCTAGAAAGACACTTGAAAAGTGGCAGAAAAGCCATCGGTCATATCTACATCAAGGCCTGGCTGTGCTTGCTTGTCTCTGGGCCTTAGTTTCCTCCTGCGTGCCACAGGGGCAGACTAACTTATCTCTAAGGGCCCTTCAGCCCTCCACTCATGTGCTTTCATGAAAAGCCCCAGGACATAGCCATAAGGCACAGAGAAACAAGGAACAGAGGCAGATGCTCTGGACACAATTTTAGGCCAGTGTGGCAAGAACACATGGGTGGGAAGGAGAGAAGTCTGAGCAGCATGGATCAGGCTCAGCTTGGTTGGGCTGGAAAGCAGGGTCAGCTGAGGAGTCCTCTGGGCCTGCAGTGCAGGTTATGTCTCCTGTTGGGCCACTCTGACCACCTTCTCCCCACCAGGTACTACTATAAACGGGAGATCCTGGAGCGGGTAGACGGCCGGCGGCTCGTCTACAAGTTCGGCAAGAATTCCAGTGGCTGGAAGGAAGAGGAGGTTGTCCAGAGTCGTAACTGAGGGTCAGAACTGGACCCAGGACCTGACTCACAGACTCAGACTGAAGGCCTGTGGCCTTCCTGGGAGGACAGGCAGGGTGGATGGCCCCCTCTGTGTGGACGTGCTCCTTGTTGTGCTGTGGAGAGAAGCTGAAATCTGTCTGGTGTGTTGGCAGCCAGTGTGCTGAAGCGGAGCCTCGGGGTCTCTCTCCCCTCTCCTCCTCTTGGAATTACAAGCCCTGGGGTTTGAAGTGATTTGCTCGCTGACTCTACAGCTGCAAGTTTGCCTCCTTCCAGTCCCAACCCAACACCGACTGTACAGGATGCCTTCCTTTTGCAAAAGCCTGACACAGCCAAGGAGATTGGGGAGGCCACAGGGGAGCACCAGGACAGAGAGAACAGGCCAGCACCCTCCAGCACCTCCTTCCTGGACTGGCTTCGCCTCCCTGCTCAGTGCTCAGGCTCCCCGGGTGGGGGTCAGAGCATCCCTAATTTATGTGCTATAAATATGTCAGATGTACATAGAGACCTATTTTTTCTAAAGCATCCCCTCCCTACTCTATTCCCACCGAGCCTCGGTGGCCAGACTTACTGTTCTAGGCCCCTGGCTGGGCCTGCAAGGGGCAGTGATGTCAGAGTCCTCAGAATGGGGCTCCTGGATCCTTTCTCTTGTGAATGGAGGCAGAGACCTCCAATAAAGTGCCTTCTGGGCTTTTTCTAAGCTTTGTCTCAGCTGTGTACTGAAATGTGGGACTTCAGATTAGATGAAGCATAGGGTTGGGAGGGGAAGAGAGGGGGTCCACTGGTTTGAGGGGAAAGGCAGACGCAGATGGCAGCTAGGTAATGATTTCCTGTAGCAGGAGGGTTGGTCTTACAGGCATGGGGGCTGGGAGGAGAGCAAAGGAAACAGACAAGGCCTCTCACAACTGAGGAAGCTAGCAAGACTTCACACAAGCAAAGACATGTACTTAGAAAGCTGAGGACCAGCGCTGTCCTGCTGCCACCACGCAGGTACTCAGTGACCTTGGCCAAGTCTGTCCTCTTTGGGCCTGCTTGTTCTCCAAGAAGTCTAGAACTGCATGTCCGGCCTTGTGGAATAAATAGATGCTTTTTGCATTCTAGCCAAGTTGGCTGCAAGCTGAGTCTGTAATATGAGTCCTAGCTTTTGTGTCTGACATGAAATCAGAGTTATGATCTTGTAATAGGGAAAACACACACCAAAAAAATGGATATGAGTACTGGATGGGAAAGAACGGAGGAAGGAATTGATACTCGTGGACCACGCACCACCGTGATCAACACCATTTGGCTTCATCTCATTCAAGAAGAGAGGAGATTTAACCTTCCCATTTTACAGAACCGTGTGAGGTTCTGTAGGTGTGCCTCGGTTCTGTCCCTCAGCGTATAGGGACCTCAGTGAATCCTCACGAGAGTCCAGAATTATGTTACTGTGTTTCCATAGTGATGATGCGTCTGGCTCTGGAGAGGACATTTCACTGATGGGCTGTCTGGAGAGTGACAGAAAGAATAATTTCCAGGTGGAAAGTTCCTTAAGTTTGAGTCTTCAGATTCTAGACAGCACACTCAAAGCACACTCTGTAAGTTTGAAATGATGCCCAGTTGTCCTGGAAATCCCAGATTATTCACAGAAGGGATGCAGATCGAGAAAAAGATCTTAGAAAAACAGAAGGGTGTAGGTGTGGCTATGGAAACGGAGCTTGCTCTGGAGAAACAACGTAGTAGAAAGGAGAGTGGTGAGATTGGCTGGAGAGCAAGAAGAAGAATCTTTGGGAGGCTCTTTAGAAAAAGTTGTCTTTACCTTTTGCCCTTCTGAAGTAGGAACAAGCTAGCCAAAGAACAGTGGGCAAGCACAGAGGTTTTGAACGGCCTGGCTCCGTGCTGATTGGGTCACTTAGCTGGATCACTGCTTAGCCTAATAATGAGCTCATTTCTTGAGAACCCACGTGTACTCTGCACTATGCTAGTTTCTCCCTCATGTTATCACTGGAGTCCTTATGCAGTAAGAGAGGTGACCCCATGTTGCCTAAGGTCACCTAGCCAAGAAACAGGGGTGGACCTTGGAGCCTAGGATGTTCTTGCTATGCCTCCCTCCATCTTCAATTTCTTCTGCTCCCAAAAGGAGATCGCAACAGTGAGTTACTAGAGGGTGTGTGTGGTCAGGGGGTTGAGAGGCCAGGCCAAGCCCCTAATGTTCTGCCAAGGCCAGCCCTGTACACTGACCTTTGCCCTGCTCTGTTCAGTTTATGAGGCGCTTTCCTCAGCCCATTATCTCATTGGGTCCACCCCATAGCTCTCTGAGGAGACTGGGTGTCCCTGTTTCACTGACTAGGCCAGAGGCTGGCCCAAGGTCACTGACCAGGTGAGAGTGGGGAGTAGAACTTAGAACTCCTGCCCTGGGAGTGGCAACCTGGGGACATTTCTCACCCAAGATGTCCTTCTCCTCTGCATTGCTGTCTACCCTTCTACCCCTCAGGACGGTGCAGAGTCCCTACACAGATCCGTAAACTGGCTTTTCTCTCCCTCTCTCTCAGTCCCCTCTCTGTCAGTGAAATAGCCATCCTTACTCCAAATCTCACCAGCACTGGGGCCTTGGAATGGACTCCCACCCAGAGGTGGTCCTGTCCCTGCCCATCTGCCCTGGGTCTCCTGGGTGTACCCTGGGCTGGGCTGTTTATATACTGCCTTGAGCTGCTGGTCACCTCTTATCTTCTGTGGAATCAGGTGTGTTGCTGGGCTGGTCAGAAGGAGGTCACCCCTCCCAGGTTTGGGTGCGCCCATGCCTAGGGGGGCTGGGCTGGCTGTCCTCAGCCTACCCTGGGGAGGGTTCCCAGAATCTCACTATACGCCATCAATCCAGGGGAAATCCAGCTTCGGCAGCCCCTCCTGGGAGGTAGGTGAAGAGGTGGGATTCCTTTGAAGGGGCTTATTTCATCAGCTCCTTCATTCCACTTATCTGTTTACACATCAGTCCCTTCCCAGGGTAGCACCCCTGGGCACCCCGGGCTTACTCAACTCAGTGCCTCGTACAGCGCCTGGCACAGAAAAGGCACTCCATAAATATTTGTCAAACTGCCTTGTGACTCTCCCTGCCCTGGCCTCCCCCTCTACACACACACACACACACACACACACACACACACCAGAGCATACTCACGTTCACACACCACACTTATGCCATACAGACAACACACCATACTCCCTCGTACACACTCAAGTACACCACTCTCACACAACTGCCTACACTACACTCACACTATCAAACATCCTCACACACACATACACACACCCTTCATCACGTGCACTTGTATGCATCACAGACACTACATATGCACACACTCACACAGAGGTCACAGTCTCCAACACACACTCTTGCGTGCACTGGGTATACTGAGAGCACACACACACACACACACACACACACACACACACCCCTCACAGTCTCCCACAGCCACACTCACTCACAACCAGACTCAGCCCAGTGCCTGGGCTCACAGCCTGGACACCAGGTGAGGGGCCACCCTGCCCCTTCTTTGAAGCACCTCTGACTTCCTATGTGCCCCTCCCCCAACAGGTGGGTTTAGCCCTTCCCTCCATTGCCACCAGCTACACGATTTGCAGGACTCAGTGAAATGTAAAATTGCAGACTGACGACAGAGCATTAACTCAAGCCTGGGTCTCCGAGTGCCCTGAACCATGACTGTACAGATGTGATGTCTTGAAGCCAGCTGCGTCCCTGTCCCACTAATGCCTAACTGAACCACCTGCCATGTCTTGTACCAAAGGTATGTTCACAACAATCACCAAACAATGAGTAAGTTGTCAACTTTTTTAAATCAGGAAAAAAAAAATCTGTAGCCACTCTTTAAAAACTTCAAAGATCTGGCAAAGCTGAGCCAGTTCTCCCATGGAACACCGCCTGCAAAATGGATCATGCTAGGCTGTCGAGAGGACGCCTGCCTGCAGTCCCAGCAACTTGGAGGCTGACGCAGAAGCAGTGCTTGAACCCAGGAGTTCAGGGTCAACTTGGGGCCACATAGCAAGTCTCTCTCTGTGTATGTCTGTGTCTCTCCCTCTCTCTCTCTCTCTCTCACACACACACACACACACACACACACACGTGGAATCGTGCCACTCCCATATAGATTTTTTTGTTTGGTTGGTTTTTTGTTTGTTTTCTGGGATTGAACCCAGGAACTCTCACTTGCAAGCACACTACCACTTAATCCCTTTGCTTTCAGTTTGGTTTTCAGATAGGGTCTCATGCTTTTGCCTGAGCCAACCTCAGACTATGACCTTCCCACCTCTACCGCTCAGGTCTCTGGGATTACAGGTGTGAACCACCATGCTCAGATCTACTGTATAGCCTTGTGCTCGCCACCATAGCCAGTACCTGTGTGTCCCTTGGGGTGTGCCTGCTCCATTCTGAAAGTATGTTTGGTACCCCTTCTACCTGACAAAATTATGGCTTGCTTGGGACAGGGACCAGAGGCCCCTGACTCTTACTGGGAACTATTCCATTTTCTTACCTGCAAGACCTTTTAATTTTAATTTTTTTGGTGGTTGAACTCAGGGCCATGCACTGATGAGGCAGCGCTCTATCCCTAGAGCCTTGTACGTGGCATATTTCAGGCCCTCATGCACACTGGAAGAACTCTGCATGGGCTTCTAGACTGGGCACAGCTGCCAGAGTGCCCACCATTGCCCAGAAGTCTTGTTCTATTCGTAAATCTCTCTCTCTGCTGAGGGAGGAGAGTTGGCAAAACCCCATTTGTCTGTACGATCCCTCTTCATCTGTTCTCCCTCAACTCCTCTCCTTTAGAAAGAACACTCACCTTAAAGGAGTCCCTACATCATAAACACTTACCCATGGTTTGTGGGATAGAGCTCTCCAGTTTGAAAAAACAACCTCCATTTCATATATGAGAAAACTGAGGTTCAGAAAAGGAAAGTAACTTATTCAAAGTCACACAGCATGCTGATACAAGAGCCTGAGTTTAATATTGACAGCTGGTCTCGATTGGGCACTTACTACAGGCCAGGCAGTGTGTCAAGTTATTGCTTTTCTTTTCTTTTTTTTTTTTTCAGTACTCAAATTTGAACTCAGGGCCTACAATA